GTTCCCATAAAGTGCTGCAGCAGCACCCCAGCAAGGGCAAAGGAACACCCCCAGTGGCAGCACTGGTGGCCCAGGGCACGCTCTGCCCACGGCCGGTGCAGCCCAATGTGGCACGTTGACACACCAGAGCCTCCTGGTTATAAATAGAGCTGGAGCCTTGGCGCTGGTGAATCCCAGCGCCGCAGGGCAGGCGGTGGCATGGGCCCTCCCCACGCTCACTGGCCGCAACGCTGCTCACAGCACCGGGGCTAGGGGCACCGCGGGTGTGCAAGGACAACCGGGCATCCCTGCAGGCACACGGTGGCATAGGATGAGGCACCGGGCACTGCCCTCTCCCCACTGTCCCGGTGTCTGCTGGTGGCAGCTGGGTCACCAGGAAGGGTCTGCAAGTGGTGGATGAAGGCCCCAGGCACCCACCGGCATCCCCAGTGCCAGCACCCGTGGGGGACACGCGTGTCCCCGCACCACAGCAAGGTCACCCTCAAGGGCAGGGCGCGGGGCCCACGGGTGACATATGGCCCGGCAGCGGTGGCTGTGGGGCTGCTAAGCCACCGAGTCGTCACCCGCTAATCCCAGCACGGAGGCTGCGGTCAGGCCACCGCACCCAGAGCTGCCACCCGGCGCCTCCCAGCACCCTGGAGCGGGACAGGCGACAGGCACCGGTGTGGGGATGCCCCCGTGTCCGTCCCCCCCCCCCCGGCACCCACTGGGCTGTGGGACAGCCCCTGCCACCCAACGAGGTCAAAGGTCAGAGGCACAGATTTGGGGAACACCCCAGCTCCAGCGGGCAAGGGGGCTCTGCACCGACCGCCCCTCCCCCGGTTTGGGGCGCTGCTGCCCATCCCGAGGGTGCCCCCACCTTCGGGGTCGCGGAGTGGGGGACACGCGGTGGGGCAGCCCCCAGCTCCCCCCACTACCGCCACCACCGCTCCATCAGGACCCCGCCGGGGCTCCACCACCCCCGGACAGAGCCCGGGTATCTGCGGCGGCGGCAGCCGGCACCCCCCGCCCGGCCCCCCCCCGGCCCCGCCGCCGCGCCAGCGCCCTGTCAGCCGCGGAGAGCGATGGCTTCCTCCGCCCGCCGGCCAGGAAACGGCGCAGACGCCGCTCCCGCCCCCCCGGACCCCAGCGCCCGGCGCCCCCCGCGCCCCCGGCCCCGCTCACCCGCCCGGCCCCGCCGTCTGCGCCCCGGCTTCCCCCCCCCGGCACCCCGAAAAGGGGAAGCGGCCCCGGCTTTCCCCGCCGCGGGGGGGGGGAACGTGTCTGCGAGCACCGGTAACGGGGGCGGGGGGGGGGGCTCGGCGATTCCGGGGGCATCCCCCAGCCGCTCGCTCTACGGAGGGACCTCGGAACCCCCCCCCGGGGTGGGGGGTACCCCGAACCCTCATAAGGGCGGCGGGGGGAGAACCGGCCCTGGGAGGGGGGACCCCAGCCCCGGTAACCGGAGAGGACCCAGCACCGCCAAGGCTGGGGAAAACGGGGGCAAAGCCACGATCCGGAACCGCGGCGGGGGCAGCGCTGCGCCTCCGGGGCTCACGGCAGCCTCGGCCAAGTGGGGGCGGAGGGAAGGGGGGGGACGCACCGGGATACCCCCCCCCCCCCCACCGGGAGGGATCCCCGTTAAGCGGACGGGGATCCCCAGAGGCGGTACCGGATCCGCGGCAAGGTCCTCCCTCCCCAGCCGGGTGCGATCCCAGGGGCCCGCTCCTTTACCTGCTCACGGAGACTTCCCACCGAGATCCTCAGAACCGGGAAGCTCCCGGTGGCGGCTGCATGGCGGCGGCGGCGGGGAGAGCCGGCCTGAACGGGGGGTGGTGATGGGGGAGCGGGGGCGGGGGGTACCGGAGGGGGGGGGGGGGTTCAACGAGCGGCGGCCGCGGCCATTGCGAGTCATGTGCTCGCGGGGAAACTTTACCCGGGGCTGGGCCGGGCGCGGCGGCGGCGGCGGCGGGCGGGGAGCGAGCGGAGGCCACGCCCCCTCCAGCGGGCCACGCCCCTCGCGTAAACCACGCCCGTTCGCACGCCACGCCCTTCACGCAGACCGCGCCCCCTGACCCCCCCGCCAGCCAATGGGAAGGCGCCGTGGGCGGGGCCGCCGCTACATTGTAACTCTTTGAAGTCTCCAGAAGGCGGAAGGGGAGAAAGTGGGTGCGCGCGCCGCGCGGGAAGCGGGAGGGGGGGCTCTTAAAGGGGCCGCGCATCATAAACCTCAGTGCCCCTTTTCTGTCTCCTTGTCTCATAAAAGAATGCAGGGGATACAGGATGGGGGTGCGGGGGGGGGTGAAGGGACCACCCAGGGCATGGCGGACTGTGGGGGGGTCAAGCGGGATGGGGGATACACAGGATGTCCCCAGGCTCAGAGGGGCAGTGCATGGTCCTCCTCCATGGGCTGAAGTCAAGGGGGTGAAGGAGGCATTCCCGCCTGCCTGCCTGCCCCCCAACAAAGCCACTGACCCCGAGGACAGGGATATGGACACAGGCTGTGCTGCTGCATTCCCGATTCCCTCATCCCTACCGGGGTGACAGCTCTAGCACCTCTGTGTCCCTCAGATTCTCACCGGGTCGCCCACCTGCATCCCATTGAGGACACATGGGGGATAAAGGCAACGTTGCTGTGAAAGGGAAAGAAAAAGGAGAGCTGCAGCCTGAGGCAGCCCTGGCCCAGCCTCATGCCCCAGGCTGGCTCCCACAGGGTCCCTGCGGCCACCCAGCACAGCGCTCCCGTGCCTCAGTTTCCCCTCTATTCAAGGCAGGGTGAGGTGGACTCCCCGGCCCCAGTGTGGGCAGCGAGGTCCGGGCACCCACAACCCCGCACGGCCGCCGGCCCCCTCCCCATCACGGTGGTGCTGCCGCTGCGGCAAGGCCCAAGCTCCAGCATGTGCTCAGCCCAGAGGAATGCACCAAATCACTGCCAGATGTGCGCAGAGGCCACCCCGCCGCCCCCTCCAGGGCCCACCGGGCACCAGGGACCCCACAGCACCCCAATGTGGGGCTGAACCCCCCGCTGCCCGCATCCTGCCTGTGCCCACAGCTCCCAGCCCCAGCCTGTCCCATGGCGTCGGGGTGCCGAGGTCCAGCGGGAGGATGTGGGTACCGGGGCACACACAAGAGGTGCCATGGGCACAGGGCCGCATCCCCGGTGCCACCACAGCGGGGTCATGCGGGGTCCTGCCCCGCATCCCCGGCCCCGGTGCCCACAGGAGCGCAGCCGAGCGGAACGGGGCTGTCAGATGGAATCTGGGTGCCGGCGGTGACGCCGCAGCGGGAGGCGGCCGTGCCCGACACGTGGCTGCTTATGTAAGGAGAGTGCAAGGGAGGACAGGGATGGCCGGGGCACCGGGGACACCGCCGAGGGGACACCAGGTCCCCGCTGCGCACATGCGGCCGGACACGCACGCAGAGGGCACAGCACGAGTGTGCGGGAGCAGTGGGGCCGGGGCTCTGCGGACCCCTCAGCATCCCCGTGCCGCTGTGGGGCTGGGGGGGGTCCCACACAAGCAGAGGTGTCCCCACACCGCAGCGGTGTCCCCATGGTGCTGCCGGCCCCGCACCGAGCGGGGCTGAGCGGCTCCGGCACCGCGCAGCTCAACCCATCCGTCTGCGCTATTGGTTTTGCACGCACTGCAGCAGAGAGCGGAGCCAGGGCTGGCACGGCCCCGGAGCCGCGTTCCCACGCCATGGGGCCACGTCCCCGTGCCACCCCGCTGTCCTTGTCCCCACCCAGGGCACCCTGTGGGCAGCACCAGCACCCTCCAGCATCACCCTCATGGGATGCCCATGGCAGTGGGTCTGGTACCCACCGTGCCCTGCCTGTGCAGCCACCAGCACACCCAGCACCATGGTGGGCACAGGGAGGGATGCGGGGAGCAAGGGCAACGCGGTGCCCACCCGTGTCGCCAATGCCATCCTGTGCCACGGGGCTGCATCATGGGCACAGGGCAGGATGCAGCTGCTGTGGATGGGGGAACAGGGACCATCCCCCCGCTCCGGCAGCCCCAGTTTTGCCCATGGGGATGCTGGTACCAGCTCAGCCCCATGGATGGGTGGCAGGGCCTGGGTCCCCCATATGGGAGGCCTGGTGAGGGACCAGGGACATGGCCTGGGCTGAGCCCATGTCCCCCCCCCAGTGCTGCCGCCCAAGCCTGACACCAGCAGCTCTGTTATAAATAGCCCCATGGCAGCAATGGGCTAAGCCCTGCTCAGGGCCTGGCTGGGGCCACCACCTCGGTTTCCCCAGTGCTCCCCATGCTGTAAGTCCCTGCCCTATCCCCAGTGTCCCCTGGCACAGCAGACAGGCACTGCCCAAACAGGGGGTTGGGAAAAGGGGGCTGCACCAGGACACCCAGTTCAATATTGGCCTCCTGCACCCCCTCTGGGCTCCACTGCAGCACTGGGGCACAATTGATGTCCCCCCATCCTGCACCCCATGGGGACAGCATCAGGCCAGGCCCGGCACACACCAGGGCCGCACTATGGGAACAAAGGAAACTGAGGCACAATGGGGGGACCCCGGCCCTCGGCAGCATGGGGGCAGCGAGGGGTGCGGGGTGCGATGGGCAGAGGTGGGGTGGGAGGGCTGGATGTGGGACACTGCCGCAGCCTCATCCCCTCCCTCTGTGGGCCCCCCCGGTCGGGGGAGCTGCAAAATTAGGTCAAAGCATCCATTATTTAACACGAGCAAAGGGGCCGGGGCCAGGAGCTGCAGCTCAGGAGGAAAGGGGCTGGGGGAGGACAGGGCTGGGCCCCACAGCCATGGGGCAGGAGGGGAATGGGGGGTGCAGAGGCAGGAGCCAGCGCTGAACAGAACACGACTTTATTAACAGGAGATAGAGGGGACCCCGCTGTCATCCCCTATCTCCATCCCTGCACCCCTCTCTGCTCTGAAGGACCAATGTTCCCCTAGCCAGGAGCCCCATAAGGCTCTGAATGAGCCAGGAGCACGCATGGCCATAGCTCAAAGCAGGGAGCAGCATTGGGATCCCTCGTGCCCCACAAATAATGATAATAACATTAATTATATTAATAAAATCACCCCAGACCTTGGGCAGGGCTCAGCACACGAGGACTGAGGCCTCCAGGAGCCATTTCCCTGCTCCTGCCATGACCCAGCCAAACCCCACCGGCACCAGAATCCCACCCACGGCCATAGAGAGGCTACTGCAGGCCCTGGGCCAGGATGCTGCCCACCAGCACCGCGTCCTGCAGCGTGTGCTCCACTGCTGCTTGATCCAGCTTCAGGGAGACCTGGCAGAGAGATGAGAGGTGGTCAGTGCCCCAGTGCCCTGCTACTGGACCCCTGCCCCAGTGCCCTGCTACTGGTACCTTGGCCAGCCGAGCCTCTTTGGCCTTCTTCATCTCGAGGATGCCGCGGGACTCCAGGAGGGTGACAAGGGACAGGCACTCGGCCTGATCCACAGCGGGGAGCTGCTGCCGCCGGCACACCTGGCTGTAGGCGTCGTGGAGCTGGAGCAGACAGAGCAGGGGTCACCCGTGGGCTGTTGCATCCAATGGAGACCCCAGGGACACAAAGCTGCTCCCTGCATCCAGCCCATCACCACCATCACCACCATCACCACCACCACCATCACCACCATCACCACCACCACCATCACCACCATCACCACCATCACCATCACCACCATCACCACCATCACCACCATCACCATCACCACCATCACCACCATCACCACCATCACCATCACCATCACCACCACCACCATCACCACCACCACCATCACCACCATCACCATCACCACCACCACCATCACCACCATCACCATCACCACCATCACCACCATCACCACCACCACCATCACCACCATCACCATCACCACCATCACCACCATCACCACCATCACCATCACCACCATCACCATCACCACCATCACCATCACCATCACCATCACCATCACCATCATCACTCACCTTCCCCAGCGTCACCTCCTGCACACGCAGGTGCCGGGTGAGCAGCAGCAGGGAGCAGAGCAGCACCTTCTGCTGCAGAGGGAAGGAGTTGAGGGTGCCCTGGCCCCCCGGTGCCAGCCGGTCCCCAAACACCTCCGAGATCACACGGGAGACGTGCAGCAGCCCCACGCGCTTGGGGACGGGGGGTGCCGGGGAGTCTCCTGTGGGGCAGAGAAGGGACCTCAGGGGGAGGCGAGTGGCACCCCCAAAAGAAACCCCAGACCCCCATTGGGGTACCCCCCCCCCGCAGGGTTTTGGCCCCATCGCTGTGCCCAGCAGCAGCCACTCACCACCAGGCAGCGGCTTGAGCAGCGTCTGGCTCCGCACCTCCAGCTCCACCATCTCCACAGCGCGCCTGGGGGGAGACAGCCCTGAGCACCCAGCATCGCCCCCCCCACCCATTGCGGGGCTCACAGGGGCCACCCCAGCAGGGTTTTGGGTCCAGCACTGACCTGCAGACATCCAGAGCCTTGCGAGCATCACCGGAGACCGCAGAGACCTTCCGGGCGCAGAACTGGAGCGCGGCAGCATCCAGCACGGGGTCACCAGGCACCTATGAGAGCAGCCGGTACCATCAATGCTGCTGCCTGCATGGCTGAGAGCCCCCCCTATGTGTCCAGCCCCATGTCCCCACCTGCCCCAGCCGCTCCTGCAGGATGCTGGTGAGCTGCTCCCTGGTGTAGGGTGGGAAGTGCAGGAGCTGGGGGCTGCCGTGGGCACCCAGCCTGGCCAGGCTGCGATCCGTCAGGTCCAACGCATTGGCCATCCCTATGGGCACAGCGCAGGGAGGTGAGGAGGGAGCGGGTGGCAAAGGCAAACCCGCTTCAGCCACCCCAAAACAGGGCACCCCAAAACGGTGCTGTGCACTCACCAACAAGCACGAGCCTGGAGCTGGGCAGCCGGGGCCACTCGAAGAGGGTGTAGAGCACATCCTGCCCCTTGCTCTCCAGCTGGTCCAGCTCATCCAGCACCAGCAAACTGCGATGGAGGAACCCGGGTGAGCCCCAGCTCTGCCCCAGTCGCAGCTCCCTGAGCAGGGAAAGCTGCCCCTTGGGGTACCCCCATGCAGTGAACTCACACCATGGGCCCTGGGGCCGTCAGGCTCTTCTCCAGGCTCCGCAGGCCCTCCCGGCCGGTGGCCGCGGTCAGACCCAGGGGCTTGGCCAGGGAGGGGAAGACGCAGGAGGGGCTGCGCAGGGCCATGCAGTTGAGGACAATGGTTTTGCTCCCAGCGAGCTCGTCCTGCCGGGAATGGGAGCGTTAACACCAGCCACAACCTGATGCCCCCTTCCCCTCACCGTGCCAACCCGCTCCAGCATCACCCCTACGGGAGCTCATTGCACCCCACATCTGCTGCCGGGACCCCCCTCACCTTGCAGTCCAGCAGCACACGGCTCAGACAGGCCGTTTTCCCTGTGCCGGGGGCTCCGGAGATGTAGAGGCTGCCGGGCCGGCGCCCGCAGATGTGATCCCGCAGGAACCGCCGGATGACGCCCATCTCCTTCTCCCTGGCGTGCAGGCGGTCAGGCACAGCCGAATGCAGCACCCGCTTTGCCTGCTGGTAACCGGTGCCTGTGCCAGCAATAGGGATAACTCAGGGTGGGGGTAACATGGTGCTGCCAGGACCCTGACCCCATCCCGCTCCCTGATCCCGCTCACCTTCCTGCCGGAAGAGCCGGGTGCGAGCTGGCCCCGAGCTCCGGGGGGTCTCCTGCCCCCCGCGCCATGGGGACGGTCCTGGGGTGTTTGGCTTCTCAGGGGAGGCCGGGGGGTCCCCAAAGAGCAAGCGGCGGCCCTGGTTCTCCTTGCTGCGCTTGGCTGGGGAGCAGGGCAGGGCATGGGGCACGTTGCAGAGGTTGTCATCACCTGCGATGGGTCAATAGAGGGGGTGAGCACATGGGCCTGAGGGAGAGGCCGTTGCTGGCACGGGGCATCCTCCATGGGGGGAGCTGCGTGCTTCAGCCCTTCCCAGCCCCCCGGAAGCCGCTTTTCCTCCTGAAGCCAGTGGAGGCCACAACCGCGGCTGCACCGGGGCCAGGGCAGAGCCGAGCCCCCCCCGCCTGCCCCATGGCCCGGCCCGGCCCCACCGCAGCTCAGGAAGGGGCTGAGCCGCCCCCTCCGCAACCCTCACCCAGGCGCTTGCGGGGGCTCAGAGGCAGCGCTTCTGTCCGGGCCGAGCGCGTGTCCGGGCCGGGATCCGCGGCCACGGGGGAGAGCCTGAGGCCGGGGGAACCGGAGCCGCTCTTGGCCGGGGGGGTGGCGGCGCGGCGGGCGCTCCTCCTGCGGGGGAAGCCGATGGTGCCCTGGTGCTGCGCGCTGCGGGTGCTGGCCATGGCCGGGTCTGCGGGGGGAGCGGGGGTACCGGTCACACGGGGGGACAGCGGAGAGCGGGAGAAGGGTACCGGTGACGGGGGGAGCCCCGCAGCCCCCCCTGAGCCCCCCGCATCGCCCAGCCCAGCCCCACGACTCGAGCCCATGACGCTGTCCCGGTCCCGGTCCCTGTCCCGGTCCCTGTCCCTGTCCCAATCCCAATCCCAATCCCAGTCCCAGTCCCAGTCCCAGTCCCAAACCCGATCTCGATCCCGATCCCGATCCCGGTCCCGGTCCCGGTCCCGATCCCGATCCCGATCCCGATCCCGGTCCCCCCGTTACCGCTACCAACCTTCTGGCGCCAACTCAGCCTCAGCTCCACGCTTCCCGCCACCAGGCCGACCTGGGCCCGCCCCCTCCCTCTCCATTGGCTGCGGCGCCCGCCGCCGAGGCCAATCGCAAAGCTCAGCCTCCCCCGCGCCACGCCCGGAGCAGGGTGTGGCCGCCGCGCAGCCAATGGGAGGGGGAGCCCGAGGTCTGGCGGGCGGGGTAGAGCGCGGCGCGCGGAGCATGCTGGGAGGTGTAGTCGGCTCGGGCTGGGTCCTAATGCCCGCCGAACCGACCACCAGTGTCCCCAGTCCCGCTTCCCCATGATTCCAGTGTCCCCAGTCCTGCTTCCCGTGGGTTCCAGTGTCCCCCGTCCTACTTCCCAGTGGTTCCAGTGTCCCCAGTCCTGCTCCCCGTGGGTTCCAGTGTCGCCAGTCCCGCTTCCTGGTGGTTCCAGTATTCCCAGTCCTGCTTCCCAGTCGTTCCAGTGTCCCCAGTCCTGCTTCCCGGTGGCTCCAGTGTCCCCCGTCCCTCTTTCCACTTGTTCTAGTGTCCCCAGCCATGCTTCTCAGTGGTTCCAGTGTCCCCCATCCTACTTTCCAGTGGTTCCAGTGTCCCCCATTCTACTTTCCAGTGGTTCCAGTGTCCCCCGTCCTGCTTCCCTCTGCTCTCACTGACCCAGTCCTGCCTTCCCAATAGTCCCAGTGGTTCCACCATTCCCAGCCCCACATCCCTGCCCCCCAACCCCAAAGAGTGGAGGGGGCCTTGGGGACCCTCCCATTCCCCAACCCCCCCCTCCACCCAAACCAGTGCTCCCCAGCAGCCACATTCCTTTATTACTTTTATTTAAATGCCATTTCCAGCTCCTTGGGGTTATTTCTGTCCCCTCTTAACCCAGCCCCCTGCTGGGGGGGGGGCCGGTGGGGGGGGCTGAGAGCACTGGGGGAGAACCTTTGTATTGAACCCTTATTTACAGAGAGAGGGAGGGGGGGCTCACCCTCCAGCGCAGCCCCTCACCCCGCCTCGCTCCACCTCCATAGGAACCCCAAAGGAAGCGCAGGACAGTTAGAGGGGAGGGGTTAGTACACCCGCAACGCCCCCCCCCTGCTTCTGGTAGTACAAAAGAGATCAGTAACTACAGTTAATATTGGGGCCCCCCCCAGCACAGTGAGGAATGCCAGAGAAACCAGCAAGGTACCAACAGCAGGGACAGGGGTAAGGCAAAACATCAGCCGGAGCCCCCCCGGCATGGGTCCCCCCGCCACCTAAGAGGGCAAATACCCCCCCCCCCCGTAACAGCAGCCCCTGTTTGCTCCATGGATAATCAGTGTTTTCCCGTTAAAATGCTCCAGTTCGGGAATTCAGCGTTAAAAGCTCCTCATGAGACCCCAGTGCTGTGGGATGGGGTTCGGGGGGGGAGCAGGAAACGGGGTTCCCACTCACCCCCTGCTCCTCCACTGGCTCCTGTGCAAAACAGCAATCGGCTGTGCCGGGGTAAGGAAGCTCCATCCCAACATCCCGGCTGCCCTTCGCTCTGCCGGTGATGCCGCAGCACATCCAGCTCCTGCCCTATCCCAGCTCCTCTCCAAGCCCTTGCTCTGCCCCAGGGAATCGGGCACTGGGATACCCCTGGTCCCAACCGGCTCTGCCCCAAGTCCTCGTGTCCGGCTCCCAAGCTGCAGCGGGGTACCAGGAACCCGGGATCTGCGATGAGGGAGGAGGCAAGGTCCCGTTTGTCCCGGGGGCGATGCATAGATGAGGATGGAGGGAGCTGGGCTGGCGGAAGCTGCTCGTCCTGGGAGTTTCTCATGCAGGGAGGTGGGGAGGGTCCGGCCGAGGAAGGGGAAGGAGGTCTCCGTGTGTCTGCTCAGGATCAATCCGTGTGTGCAGCCCGCTTTCACCTGGGGATGGGGGGCAGAGGGGGGGCCCCACGTGTAGCTGCAGAACAAAAGCTCCATGAAACCATTTCCTGCACCGTGCCGTATCCCCGTGTGCCAGCATCTCCATCCCGGTGCTCCCACAGCAGCATCCAGGCCACCCCCATTCCCTCCTCCACATCCCCACAGCAGCTGCCTCCTCCTCCTCCCTTCCCTCCCCAATCCATGCGGAGATCCAGAGGCAGCACGCACACACACGGAGAGCTCCGGGCTCTTCGCATCCACATTAAACATTCATTGCTCTATAAATAGACGAGCATCCCCTTCTCCCCGGAGTCTCCTGCGGGATCCGCAGGGCTGACGTGCAGCAGAGGCGCACCAAGGGCACGCTGCGCCGTGCTGGCAGCGTTGGGCCCATCCTGGGGTGCAAAACTGGGGGTCCTTCACCCCCAAATCCCTGCCCAGCACCGGTTTGGCAGCAGGACCAGCTCCTTCTGGAACCACTCCAGCACCAAAGGTGCTCAGCATAGGCAGGATTGAGCCCTGCAGCATCCCTCTGTGCAGGCTGCCTTGGGGCTCAGGTCCTAGGGGACATGGATCAGGAGCTTGGGGCTCAGAAAGGCTCACACCAGCCCCTGCATGATCCACCCCGAGCAGGGACAAACAGGACAGCGTTGGCCATAGCTGCTCTGCTGTCACCTCCCACCACCGTGGAGAGTGCAGGAGGGGAGCCAGGGATGGTGGGACCCATCCTCCTCCTCCTCCTCCCTTACCTCTGTTCGTTTTGCTGGGGTAGATTCTCTGGAAGTATTTATATTCTTCTGGGGCTGGGAAGTCTTCAACGGGATGAAAGGAATATTTGGATTCAAAGTCATCTGCAGAGAATGGGGAACAAGGAGCAGGTCAGGCTCTGCATGGGTGCATGGGGACCAAAGGGTTCCCCCCACCCCAGCTCAGTCCCCCCCGCAGGGTCCCACTCACCCAGGAATGCTCTGACGGTGGCGATGGAGTCCCGGTGCCCGTTGCGCACCGGTGGCGGCGGCGGGGGGGGCCCGGCCGGTGTCCTCGTGGGGGGCGGCGGTGGCTTCCCCCGGCTGGGGGGCTCGGTGGAGCCGTGCAGTCTGTAGGGGGGCGGAGGGGGGGGGGCATCACGGCCCCCATTGCGCAGCAGTGGCGGAGGGGGCGGTGGAGCTGCAATGAGAGCTGGGTCAGCTGCCAAGGCTCGGCATCCCCAGGGCAAACCCTCCCCTCCGGCTGCAGGGCCAAGGACATCCTCCGAGGAAGCTTTCCAGGCCGGCTGCGGAGCCAGAGCGCACCAGCGGCCAGCAGGGATGCTCCCACTCGCTCCCGGAGGAGATTTCCTGCTTGCTCACATCTACATTGCTGCAGTCAGCCCCAGCGCAAGGGATGGGCCTGAGCCTGTGCCCCTCGGCTCAGCTGCTCCAGGAGAGGGGATCCGAGGAGCCCGCACACACAAGGCGTTGAGGGCAACTCCATGTGGAGGCAAGACGCTGCCTGCCAGGGCTGGGAAACCACATCCCCACTGCCACCGAGGTGGTGACAGCACCCGTAGCCCCCTCTGACCCACCTCTTGCTCCTGCCCTGCCTCCCAGGGATGCAGTGGCAGCTCATGCCCTTCATTAGGCTAATCACAGGCAGAGTGAGGGAGCGGATCCCCAGCTGCAGCTCAGAGGAGGGTTCTGGCAGGGCCGGAAGGACACAGCGGCTTTGGCAGGGGACCAGGCGGGAGCTGCGGTCTGGACACGGAGCCCAGGAGCTCATGGACGGGGGGGGGCACTGGGATGAAGCCATCGCTGCTCCCAGCACTGGAGAACCCAGGGCAGTTCCCAAGGGCCATGGGGCAGTGTCCAGCTGCACCAGTATGGGAAGGGCTTCTCCCTGCTCTGCCACAGCGTTCTGTCACCAAGCCAGTGACATTTAGGAAGCTCAGGGGAGCAGCCACAGTGTACACAGCTCCGGCTCCACCGTGTCCACACCTCCCACCCCAAGAGGAGGCACCAATCTCACAGGCAGGAGCTGCACAGCCACAACCCACCAGCAGTATCAGGCCTGAAAGGAGCCGGATAAACAGGACAGGACCAGGGGCATGGATTAAACCCGATAGTGAAGCTACTGCCCGTGGCTCAACCCATACACTGCACCCTGGAGCTTGCTCTTCCCCCAACATCTACCAGCCACCAAACACCCCATGGGCAGGACCCATGGAGCCTGGTCCAGCAGAGTAAATGGTTCTTACCTGCTCCCCGGCTGGGGGGGTCTCTGGCTGGAGGAGGGGGGCGACTGCTCTGGAGAGATGGGGAGGCTGCAGCAGGTGGCAGCGGTGCCAGACCCCGCAAAGGGCCCGGCGCCTTCCTGTGCAAGGAGTTGTGTCTCTGCGGCAGCTCCGGGGCGGATTCATTGACGGGGCTGGAAGGGCCATTGGGGACACTGGGGGGCTGTCGATAAGGGGGTGGCGGGGGGGCGAGGGACTGGCCCTGAGCCCCTGCCCCAGTCCGGATGCTGACTGGGGAGGGGGGCGGTTTGATGGGCGGTGGGGCCGGGGGCCCGTCCCTGCTGCCGGGCAGGCGCTGTCCCGGGGTGGGCGGCAGCGGCTTCTCCCGGTTGTAGGGTGAGACCTTGGTGCTGTGCGCTGGGGGGGGCGCCGGGGGGGCGGCAGCACGGCGGCCCGGTGGGGGGGGCGGGGGGGCGGATGAGCTGTGCTTCATGCCGGTGCTGCCGGCAGCGTTGGGCCGGGACAGGTCCGGCAGCGACGGCCTCTGCGTGCGCGGCAGCTCCGGCGGTGAGCCCCGGTTGTTGTCGGCATCGTCTTGAGGTCGGTTGTTGGTGGCTGGGACCGGGGGCCTGGGGGCGGCTGCTCTGGAGCCAGGGACTTGCAGGGTTTGCTTCCCCGAGCTGTCTGTGGGGAGGAGAGCAGAGGGAGTGAGAGGCGATGCTGCGGCGCCGCGGGGCAGAGTGCCCGTGCCGAACGCCGTCTGGCACAGGCAGGGAGCTGGCACCACGCTCAGCCACACACGGCTCCCCTCTCACCACTGCTATGCGCTCGCTGCCCTGCTGGGAGGCAGGATGCCATGGAAAACAGCAGAGAGAAAGCGCTGTGCAGCACACACAACACCAGGGCCCTCCTCCTCCAAGGAGGGTTGTGCCGTGGGGCGCCGTGGCCATTTGTGGGGTGTTGAATCGCTGCTAAACAGCTGAAATCCCCAGGGAAGCAGAGCCAAATCCTCAACCCCCTCCTGCTCCGGGACCTCCCCAGGGAACCACACACAAACCACAAGCAGGAGGCCATTACCTGAGCTGTCCTTCGCTCCCACGGGTCTCAGCTTGGGAACGCCGCCTTGGAAGAGGCCGCCCTTTGGCTGGATGGCAGAGCTCGAGCTGTAGCTGCAGCCACCACCAGCACTGCCCTTAGGCTCTGAAAGGAGAGAGGCAGAGAGCTTAAGCCTGGTATTAGCTCCTCCAGCAACATGAAGGCACTGGAAAGCAGATGGGTGAGAGCTCAGAAGCTGTCCTGAAGGACACAGCAGCACCCAGCACAGGGCTGAGAGCCCCCCCGGGGCCAGGACTCACTCTCTAGGATGGGTGCGCTCCGGTCATTGATCTGTGTCACCTTCTTTAGCTTGGTCCCTTTGCAGATGTCCTGCAGGAGGGCCCCGCGGCCCCGCTGCTCCTCTCGGCTCAGTTTCGGTGGCTCTGTGTTCGCCTGTGGACAAGCAGCAGCTCACCTGTGTGCATGGACACCCCGACCCACAGAGCAGGCACAGCCCCACTCCACCTCCCCAGCCCCTGCCAGCAAGCATCCTTCTCCACACGGAGCAATGGGGCTGCCCTAGGTGATGCTGCTCTTCTATGGGGCAAGGTTGAGACCCCATCCTACCTAGACCCAAAGCACAGCCACCTGGAAGACCCCAGTGCTCCCCATAGAGGCACCAAGGAGGAGAAGACACTAATGCAAAGAACAGCCACACAGAGACCCTCTGCAAGGGAAACTGAGGCACAGCCCAGGGACCACCAAGCTCTCACAGGAGGCCCAGAGACAGCACAAAGCAGCGTGTGGAGATGAGGGCTCAGCTCTTACCTGGCTGAAGGTGGGAGGCGGCGGGGGCCCGGGCGGCGGCGGCGGCGGGATCGGCATCGTGGCCCCGCTCCGGTGGCTCAGAGGTGGGGACAAGCCCGGTCACTCATGCCTGTGGGAATGGAGGATGCGGTCAGGGAGTGGAAGGGAAAGCCAGAGAGCAGAGAACACAGCCCCAGGCCAGTGTGCTCCTGCCCTGTGCTGCGGGGCAGAGCCGGGGCTGCTCGCTCCCAAGAGCCTGGAGCAGCAGAGGTGGGAGCCAGCACCATGCCCTGCCCCAAAGCCTGAGTTAAAACCCAGCCCATTGCCCACACAACCTCACTCAGTGGAGTGAACCCAGCCGAGCCCATCCTGCACCATGAATCCAGCTCCTGTATCTGCAGGTTGCTCATGTGGAAGTGTGAAAGGAGCCCAAAGCCTCTGCTGTCAGCAGGCACCAAAGCCACTAAACCTGCCCCCGCATCACCCAACACCCCATTTACACAGCTCTGAAGCACCCCTGGAAGCTGCCCGAGCAGGCAATGAAACCACCTTTCCCCCCATCAACCTGATTATGTTTCAATCTATGGCATCACAAGGCCAAAACCACCCTGTCCCCCCCTATGCTCACCCAGGATGGATCCCAGTCCGCACAGTGCTTCACCAGTGGGGCTCCACGGAGCCCAGCAACGGAGACTGAGCACGGAGGAAGCAGGGACAGGAAGAGCCTGAATCACCCGGAGATCACAGGATGGGCTCCTGCCTCTGACAGCAGCGCACAGGTAGGGCTGTCCCAGCAGCACCGGCTCAGGGAATAGGAATGTGGTGACTGGAGGCATCACTGGGCAGACTGAGGCAGGGGATAAATGCCCCTTTCTGCACCAACCATCTCCTTCCCATAGGAAAACCTGCTCCCTAACCACCACAGCACCAGCACAAGGTGAGAACAGGGAAGTTTCACACCTGAGGCTTCCGACTTCCAATCCATGACCTCCAGGGCATGCAACAGACACATCCACCGTGACAGTGAAAGCTTCTTCAGGAGCCAGGCACCAAAACCAACCTCTACAATGGTTTCTATATCAGGTATTAAAAACCCTTCTGACACTCACCTTCTACCAGAGAAACTACAGTGTAGTGAAGGCACAGCACACGGAGCCAGAGGAAGAGCAGGTCCATCCGCACGTGTCACACATTCCCACTCCCTGGCACGGCAGAGGTGTGAGGACAGGAGAAGGGGAGCAGCAGCATCACCGCGGTGCCAGTGCCTGCCTGGGGTGAACCAGCAGCTCTCTGTGGTTCAGGAGGATACAGAACTCAACTGCCTTCTAATTAAAAGCAGCAAAAGGCTCCCCAAGTGCAGACACCCTCATTGGGAAGATGTTCCTCCCTCTATCTCCCAGCCTTTCCCAAGTCACCTGGATCTCGTGTTCTCCCATGGCACCAGCCACACCTCTGCAGAGCTGGGGATGGACCTGCCGTGACTCACTCACTCCTCATCCACCTCACCAGGGAAGCCAGCTCATTCCTGCCTCTTGGAAAACACACCTGGGGTGCTGCTCTGCTCCACACCGAGCCTGAAGCCTTGCATACGTCCATCAACTCCTTCAGCCCCACCAAGCTGGGATGCTCGCACACTGGAATGAACCCATTCATCCTGCACCTTTCCCACCAAAGCAGGATCAGAACCAGCTCACAACGCGCTCGTCTGGCACTGCTGGGATGTGTTGTAACAGGAATGCTTTACCCCCGTGCTGCTTCCCACCCCGCAGCAGCATGGAAGGGCCGGGACGGCGCGGGCACAGGATGGGCAGGGGAGCCCTGGCCTCTTTGGAACCTCAACAGCAGGAGGTGATCATCAGGGATAGAGCTGAGAACCGTGCCAGGTAATGGGACTCCTGCCTGGGTTTCATGTCCCAGGCCTGAGCCAGCACAGGATTGGTGCCAGCCCTGCTCCTGACCCATGGGAACACAAACACCAACCCGTTACGCTCCCAGTGCTTACTCACAGGGTGATGCTTCCCACCCAGCTCCACACCTCCATGGCACTGGGGGTCACTGGTGCTCCTTGAACACTCCCGTGCCAGGGATACAGGCAGATGGAGAGCGGGATGTGAGCTGCCACAACACAGGTCATGGCTGCAAGGGTCCCCCCACGTCAGCCCTGCGTCAGGGGACAATCCCAATGTGACATCAGTCCTGTGAGCAGAGCCGGGGAGGAGAGGGTTATTTCTACAAAGGAACCATGAGTCACGACCTCCCTGTATCTCCCATGCCCTTCAAACCAGCGCTGCACCGAAACCCACATTCACATAAAGGCTCTGACCTAGAAGAGCAAGAGGAGGGGAAAGGAGAATCGAAGCTCAAGCAGCTGGAGGAGACACTGAGAAAGGGGTCATTTCGCTTCAGCACACGGCCCCGTTCAGGTTGTGGATTAACAGCAGAGGTCACATTGAGAAACCCAGCTCAAGAGGCACTGGTCCAGCACACACTGCTGGTTATTCCATCCCATGAGAAACACCGAGCCCTCCGGGTGGGGAGCCTGCAGGATAAAGCCTAAACCCTCAGTGGCCATGAGGACAGACACAGCTGATAAAGATTAGGGAGCCACAGCTAAACCCTGCAGGAACAGAACACCACGGGGAGCTCCCCCAGCACTGCGTATGCCTGACGGAAACCATGCCCTTTGAAACAATGCTGCTCCTCTCCGCCTGCCTTCTCCTTTGTTCTGCGTTACCAGGGATCCTCTCACCCAGGCGGAGCTGAGCCGGTGCTCGCAGGGAAAGTGCTTTGAAAGACCCCAATGAGGGCAGGGGAGACCCCCTGAGATCGGAGCCTGGGGTAAGGCAAGAGGGGCTGGTTTGCACCTCGGCTTCCCCTGGGCAATGAAAGCACAAAGGCAAGGGAGCTGTGAGGGAAGGGAACGTGTGAACAGCTCTTTGGAGGGCAGGGGAGTCACCGAAAGGAGGTGACTCTGCAGGGAGCTGATGCTCAGCAGCCACACTGAACCCTCACCACCACCATGAGGGTCTCCTGACAACCACTGTTAACCCCAGCAGCATGCCATTCAGCAGCCCCCCTCTCCCAAAACCCAGCTGCATTAGCCAGGACAAGACTTCAGGCCACGTTTTTCAAGTCCTCAATTGCTGAAGGGAGATGCAATGTCTCCTCCAGCACAGCAAGCAAAGCACCCCCTGCTCCTGCTCACCCCTCGGGGGGGCTCTGCCGTTGTAGCAAGCCAGGCAGCAGCGACCTTCAGCCTTTCAGAGGGATTTGGGTGCTGGGGCAGATCTGTATTCCCCAGCTACGCCGCAGCGAGCCTGCGTTTGCAAAGGCGAGATGGAGCTGAAGCTTCGTCCTCAGGGAGGCAGCGGCTTTGAACTGCAGATCAAGAGGAATTTCCAGCCCTCTGATGTCGGCTGCAGAATGCAGCTGCACCGGTTTGGGGATGACTTCCAAGGCTGGACCTCTGAAACAGGCTCCCTCCCTCCCGCCTCGCAGGGCGCCTTCATCTTCCACCTCTTCCCATCCCAAGCCTCAGTTACCCCGAGCGCTGCCCTTCCCAATTCAGAGCCTGTCCTCCACAGGCTGACATTGCTGCCTGCTCCCGAGGAGCACTGAGGATGCCACATAAATAATTCATCCTGAACGACAGCAGAGCAGGATTTGAGGTCATCCAGGCTTTTAAAATCATAGCAGCGTGTGCTGAGAGCGCGAGCTGCCATCCCCATTTGAGTGCCTCAAAGAGCTGGTGCATCTCTGCGTGCAGACACGCAGACACCCGGCACCCCGCGGGACTCGGGCGGTCGCTCTCCATTATTCACAACCCACGGGCACTGACAATGTGTTTTGAACAAACCCCCCTCAACACAACGGTGATGGATGCCCCCCGGGCTCGATTCCACAGCCACGGGACCCTGGAGTTGGGCTGGCCTTTAGCAGCTTTCCACCCAGCTTGGTTTGCTTGGGAGAGGAAACCTTTAATGAGGAGCAAGGAACTGCAGCTTAGCATCAGGCTACAGGAAAAGCCCATCCCAGGAGAGCCCAGAGATTTCCCTGCCTCTCCCCATCCCCTGTGCCAGGCGAGGAGGGAAAGGAAACTGGGGAGGGAGAGGGTGGCACCCGAAGGGAGCGGGCAGGAACCAGTGCTCTCCGACGGACACCTCCAATTGTTCCAGTGGGAGGAAGCGGTGGGAGATGCGAGGACTTCCCGACGGCTGCACCGTGACCCACGGCTGGGATTAACGTGCTGCAGGGCCCACGCCTCGCAGAGAACAATGCCCTGCCTGGAAAGCAGCTCCTCAGCCTGGTGCCCATAGTGGAGAGCTCAGATTCAAATGACTTCTTATCAAGTGCCAGCAAGAGCCCCTGACCTGTTCCAGCATCCTCCATGCATTCAGAAGGAATGGAGATAGATGGAGCCAACGGAGATGGGAGCAACTTGAGGAACAACGAAAACATTGGTGGCAAATGGCATCCTGGGGTGCATTAGAAAGGGGGTGGGTAGTAGGTGAAGAGAGGTTCTCCTCCCCCTCTATTCTGCCTTGGTTAGGCCCCATCTGGAATATTGCATCCAGTTCTGGGCCCCTCAGTTCAAGAAGGACAGGGAACTGCTTGAAAGAGTCCAGCGCAGAGCCACAAAGATGATGAAGGGAGTGGAGCATCTCCCTTATGAGGAGAGGCTGAAGGAGCTGGGTCCCTTCAGCTTGGAGAAGAGGAGACTGAGTTCACAAATATGTAAGGGGTGGGTGTCAGGATGATGGAGCTAGGCTTTTTTCAGTGATATCCAGTGCTAGGACAAGGGGCAATGGGTGTAAACTGGAGCATAGAAGGTTCCACGTGAACATCAGGAAGAACTTCTTTACTGTGAGAGTGCCAGAGCACTGGAACAGGTTGCCCAGGGGGGTTGTGGAGTCTCCCACATTGGAGATATTCAAGGCTCGCCTGGACAAGTTCCTGTGTGATGTACTCTGGGTTACCCTGCTCTTGCAGGGGGGTTGGACCAGATGAAGTCCCTTCCAACCCTTGGGATTCTGTGATGGCTTCAGGCTGCTCCAAGCAGGGTGGGAAGCAAAGCAAAGCAAAGCTCCATCCACCTCCAAGAGCCTTTGGAAGTGGCTGACACGACACCAGCAAAGAGCAAGGGAACCGAGCAGACCCACAGCTCTGGAACCTGACAGTGCACGGAGTTATCTGGGAAGCAGCAGCAGATGCTCCATGGCAGCAGCAGCCTCACAGGGGAGCAGCAGGCAGGCTCCAGCTCCAGCTCCAGCTCCAGCCTGCCACCCCGGGTTGATGCTGTCACTACTGCAGCAGGTCTGAGGCAGGGACAGCACGAAGCCAAATGAAGTGGATGGCACGGTGCTGAAGGCTGCGCTACCAAACCAACCCCCATGCTCTGCCCCGGTACAGGGAGCTTGGGTAAAACCATGAACAAACCTCCTGCAAAGCCACTACCACACGCTGGAGGTTGCTGTCCCCAGTAGAAAAGCTGTGCCTTTAAAGTACCACAGGCCTGGCTCCAGTTTAAACCCCTGGACCAGCCTCTGCAGGCCAGTGACCAGGGCTGGGTTAGGCATGAGCCTGCAGGATCCCCCTACAAGGCATCTGTGATGCTCCCTCCCTGTTCCTCTGCTTGAGGGGTCCCTGGGGGAGGCTGAGGATGGAGACCTCCTGCTCTGGTCCCCCCCTTTGCCAGGCTCTGCCTCCTCACCGTCCCCCTGTGCTGCTGCCTCTTTTGCAAGAGCTGCTCCATGAAGGAGATGAGCAGAGCCAGGGGTGAGGTCTCTGCTGTTCCATAGCCCCCGGCCAAGTGTTCCCAGGGTTTTCCTAGGCAAAGGCCAAGCAGGGATGCACCAATTCCTCATCCAGAACACACAGGGCAAGGAACCGAGGCAGAGGGCAAGTCACTGGGAGGTGCCTGCTGGGAGGGCGCAGGCCCCACCGCAGGATAAAGTCACCCCAAAGCCACAAAGGCCTCGCAGAAAGGAAGCAGCCACTCCGAAACCCATCACTGACTGCTCCTAAACCACTTAGCTGGCTGAAGAAACACCTTTCCTCTAAGCAGGGCTGTACCTGGAGGCATAAAGAGAACATTCACAAGCTGCCACCGAATCCCCAGCACTCCGGTGTTATTTTGGGGCGGATGGGTATGTTTGGTGTTTGTGCAAGGCCCTAAAGCTGCAGGAGCCTCACAAATGGGGCTCAGAGCAAGCAGAGCCTGGCCCCACCGCCCCTCACTGCGGCAGTGGGAGAGTGCAAAGGACGCACCGGTGTCTGTACCAAGGGGATGCAGAGCTCTGGGAGCCTCTCGGGTGCTCTTCAGGGCAGGGGTGCTAAGAACAAGCTGTGGATTCAGAGGGAGAGCAGGGATTGCCCCGAGCTGTGCCCCAGAACGGGGTGTGACAGACATGGACACAGGGACAGGGTCCTTGTGGATGCAGCCACGTCCCTCCCAGCTGCAGGCACAGTCACCAGCATCCCCAGGCCCCCGAACCAGGCTCCAGCACTGATCCCTATGGTCATGGTGCTGCATGCAAGAGACACCAAAGGAAGGGAGCAGGGATGAACCAAAGGAAGCAGCGAAGCACCTGAGCCCCAGCACCACGGCCTCCGTGCTGCAGCAGACCCCACAGCAGGTTTGGTCTCCCAGGGCTGGTGATGAAGGAGCCGGTTCAGCTCTGCAGACACCTCAATTCCTCACTCAAGCTCCTAACATCAGAGCAAGGAGCAGCCCCGGAGCTGTGCTCGTGCCAGGGCTGCCCTGGCAAAGGCAGCAGGAGAAACCCAACACGCTCAGCCCCTTGCTATGAGGGCAATTCCCCCCCCCAACCCGGCTCCCTCCTCCCACCTTTGCTTCCCAACACAAAGCTACTTCTTTGGCAGAGCAAATCTGCCTCCCTTCCAAGCAGCCAGATGTAAGTAGGTCAGACAAGGACCTCGACAGCAGCACTTTAAAGGGAAGCAATGCGGGAAGCGAGCCCTGACCTGGAACGTGCCCCCATCACCTCGGTGTTGGGGCAGAGGGGGAGCTGGCAATGCCTCACCTCACTCAGCAAGAGCAGAGGATGCCAGAGCAGCAGCGTGGCACCGTGCACAGGGGTTAGCACCTTGCAGCCATGGTGCAGGGCTGCTTTCAGTGGCAGAAGCTCTCTCAAACAGACCCAATCCCCTGGTAAAGGTGGCACCGGTCCCCTCTGTCCTGGCACTCCCCAGGCTCCGGATGGCACTGGCTGCTGTTTGGTAGAGGCAGGATGAAGCCAAAGCCCTCCCTCACCCCTCACGGCACAAAGAGGGGTCTGTGCTCCCGGCTCCAGAGCAGCCATGGGAACACAGGCTCTGCCTCTGCATTCCAGCAGCAAAGGGTGGCTGTAAGATGGAGCACTGGGAGCACTGGGATGGCTCCAGGGGGGCTCAGCGGTGCTGAACCCCTCAGGGCCAGGATGCACTCAATGCACTGAGGCAGGCAGGAGCGAAGGAAGCCAGGCTGGGAGAGGCAGCGCTGCCCCACAGAGCACGGCTGGATTCACACTCACGGGCACTCAAACCCGGCTCAGCTCCCCTCTGGCAGCCGCTGCACAGCAGGGACGGGGCCAGACCGGAGCAACCCGGCCGGATGCTGCCCGCGGCCAAGTCTGCCAAAGGTAAAGCGAGGCCGATGTGGGATGGCGGCAGCGCTCCAAGGCTCGGCGCAGCACACGCAGGCTGCGGTCCATGCAATGACTTCCATGCAAAACCTCTGCCTCCACCTGGCCTGAGGACGCTGCTGCACCGGCTCCTCGCTGCCTTCCCAGCCATCGCTTTCCGCCTGCGTGGTGGGGATGGGATAACCCGGAGCAGGGCAGTGATGAGGCCTCCAGGGCTGCACATCCATCAGATGAGGGTCAGGAGGGAGCCGGCATCTCCTCCCTCCGCATCCCACTCCCAAATGCAAAGAGGTCAGAGGGGGGACCAAGCAAGGGGGTAGATGGAGCAGAGCCATGGTTAAGAGCCATAGGGATTCGAGGTTAACCCCCCAAAAATCAGTCTCTGAGCAGTGCTTGTTAAAGAAGTGGGTTGAAAGTGCCCCAAACCAACCATGGTCTCCCCCGGGTCTGGGCTCGCTGTGATGGGGCAAACCCCAAAACCAGCATCACCCCAAAAGGAGGGACCACTTATCCAGGCACATGGATACAACCCCTCTGCTGGGCTCACCCCTGTGCAGCACATATCCCCCACAGCCTGAACCCATCCACACCCCAACCGAGTGCATCGAGGCCCGCAGGGAACCCCACAAACAGGGAGCTGGGATGGGCAGGAGCCAGCTCTGCAACCGCACTCAGGGCTGAACGGCATCAATTCTGCGGAGTGTTCGCAGGAGCAAAGGGGGCGAGCCACAGCCACACATCCCAACGGAGGCCCGGCCAACAACCAGCTCCTCGGTCCCTTCGCTCACAACCAGCGCTCTGGAGGGCTCCGAAGCGAACCCGCAGCACGAACGCGGGCCCGAGGGCCGTGGCTCTGCGCCCGGCCCGGCCCGGCTGCAGCGCTGGTTCCGCGGGTGGGGAGGGCCGGGAGGTCGCGGCCGTGTTTACCCGCAGCAGCGCCCTGCGCTGGGGCAGCCGCTGCCCGCCCAGGCGGGGCTCCACGCTCGGCTCTGCTCAGAACGAGAGCAGGGATCGGACCGCGGACCCCGGTGCTGGGTCCCTGACCCCGGGGGGCCCCGCGTCCCCCCAGGCCCAACCGGACACCCGGGAGGAGCGCACAGCCGGAGCCCTCCTGGGGCTCCGGGGGGGGACCGGGAGCAACGGAACCGGGGAGACGGGGGACCCCCTCAGAGTCCCCCCCGCCGCCATCACCGCTCCAGCGCAGCCGCTCCCACCGGTGGGACCCACCTCCCCGCGTCCCGGTGCGATCGTGTCTGCGGGCCCGGCCCCTCGCCCCCGCACCCCCCTCACGTTCACCCCCGAGGCCCCGCAGGCCGCGACCCCCTCCCCGCTCTCACCGGCCGCCCGCGGCCTCCTCCCGCCGCACCCGGAAACGCGGCCCCGCGGCGCCGTCCGGCCTCCAGCCGCCGACAGACAAAATGGCGGCCCCCGCCGCTCCTGCGCCGCCCGGGCCGGATGTGGGCGGGGATCAGTGGGGCGGCAGGGCCGCGCCGCCATGATGGGGAGGTCAACGGCCATGGCGGGGAGGGCGCTAAGCGTGGCTGCCATGTTGGGAAGGTCAACGATGCGGCGGGAGGGCGTGGGGCCTCGGGGAGCGGAGGGATTGCGGCGGCACCGGGAGGGCTCCGGGACGGCTCCGGGACGAGCCGCCGCAGACCGGAGCCGCAGCGGTAAAGCGGGGTTACCGCAGCCAGCTCCTTCTTCCCGCCATATTGAGACGGCCGCATGAGCCCGCTGTGGCGGCCATCTTGAGAAGGTCTTCCCCGCCTCGCCGCCATCTTGAGAAGGTCAAACCCGCCCCGGCCGGTCCCGGGACCCTCAAAGCCGGCATGACGTCACCGGGCTGAGCTATGACGTCACTCCCCAGCCATGACATCATCAGACAGGGGCCGGGACAGCCGTTTATTGGGGCTCTGAACCCCCCCCCATTGTTGGGGTTTTTTGTGGGGTTTTGGGGTGTGTTTTTTTTTCCTTTTTTCCTCCTTTTTCTTAAAAAATAAATGTACAATTCCCGACAGCGGCTCCGTACAAAATATACACGTCTGGGGGGAGGGGCGGGGGGGGGAGCACGTACAAAAATAGAGGGGGGGGAGGAGTCGGGGGGGGGGGGTCCCTGCACCCCGGTCAATGGAAGCGGTCAATGGGGTGCCAAGGGGACACTGGGAGGGGGGGAGGGATGAACCCGGGGGTCGTCCCCGTCCCCCCCCCCCATTGTGCTGAGGGTGGGGGCAGCGCTCGGCTGTGCCCCTCACCCCGCGTCAGGCCAAAGTGCGTCAGTGCTGGGGGGCACCGGGCCCCCCGGGGATGGGGGGGGGGCCCCGATGGGGGTCCCGGTCCCTCACTGGCCGCCCGGCTCCAGCTTGAAGGAGAGCTCGAAGAGCAGGTTCTGGTTGTCGATGACGCGGAGCTGCCGCACGTACGCCTTGGTCTGCAGCTGGGTCGGGGAGGCCTCCAGGTCCAGGCCTGGGGGGGAACGGGGCGGGGACACAGACGGGGATGGAGGGAGAGGGGTGAAGGGATGCAGGGATGAGGATGAAAGGGGATGGAGGGATGTGGGGATGAGGATGCATGAGGGGCATGCAGGGATGAGGATGAAAGGATGGGGATGAAGGGATGGGGATGAAGGGATGCAGGGATATGGAGATGCAGGGATGCAGGGATATGGGGATGCAGGGTTTGGAATGAAGTGATGCAAGGATATGGGGATGCAGGGATGGGGATGAAGGGATGAAGGGATGAGGATGAAGGGATGAGGATGCTGATGAAGATGAGGATGAAGGGATGCAGATGAAGGGATGCAGATGAGGATGAAGGGATGCAGATGAGATGCAGCAAAAAAGATGAGGGAGGGATGGGATGAAGGGATGCAGGGATGAGGATGAAGGGATGCAGGATGGGATGAAGGGATGCAGGGATGAGATGAAGGGATGCAGATGAGATGAAGGGATGCAATGAAGGATGCAATATGGGATGCAGATGAGGATGAAGGAGAGGATGGATGAAGATATGGATGCAGATTGATGAAGATGCAAAAAGGGATGAGGATGAAGGGATGCAGAGATGGGGATGAAGGGATGCAGGGATGAGGATGAAGGGATGCAGGGATGAGGATGAAGGGATGCAGGGATGGGGATGAAGGGATGCAGGGATGAGGATGAAGGGATGCAGGGATGGGGATGAAGGGATGCAGGGATGAGCTGATGCAGGTGCAGACACGTCCCCATCCCCATCCCAGAGCCAGCAGCAGGGATGCGGGGCCGTGCCCGTTCCTCCCCCATACTCACAGAGCGGGCGGCTCCGGTACTTCCGGATGGTCCTCACCTTCTCGGCGATGCAGTGCTGGGCACAGAGCACCCCCAGTGAGACCCCCCCATCCCCAGGGACCCACATCCTGCACCCCCCCCATTCCCATCCCCTCAATGGGGTTCTCCATCCCCAGCCTCACCCCAGGACCCCCATAAGTCCCGTCCCCCCCCCCCCAAAGGGCACCCACCAGTTTCTCCACATTGACCAAGCCATCCAGGAGGGTTTTGCTGCCTTCATGCAGGAAGGTGAGATCTGGGGGTGAGCAGAGCGGGGTGAGGGGGGGCCCAATGGGGCAAGCACTGGGACCGCAGCCCCCTCCGGGCACAGCCTCTGCCCCCCCCTCACCTTTGAGGATGAGCGGCACAAAGGGGATGAGGGGGGGCTTCATCTTGGCCAGCACCTCCCGGTACGTCTTGTGGTTCCTGCAGGGGTCCTGGGGGGGGACAAGGGGAGCAGCTCCCTAGGGGTGCACTGGCACCAGTGGGCATAGGGGGAACGGATGCTGTGGGAGCATCCCCTGGGTGCTGACCACCCCCCCCCCCCTCACCGTCAGGTTCTCGAACTTCCGAAACAGGTTCTTGAATTTCCCTGGGAGCTTCTGCAAGACAAAGCAGGGGGGCAATGAGAATCCATAGGGGTGGCCAGGAGCATCCATAGGGTCCCAGGAGCATCAATAGGGGCCCAGGAGCATCCCATAAGGGTGGCCAGGAGCATCCAAGAGGGCCCAGGAGCAGCCATAGGGGACCAGGAGCATCCCATAGGGGCCCAGGAGCATCCAGAGGGGCCCAGGAGCATCCCATAGGGGCCTAGGAGCATCCATAGGGGTGGCCAGGAGCATCCAGAGGGGCCTAGGAGCATCCCATAGGGGCCTAGGAGCATCCCATAGGGGCCCAGGAGCATCCCATAGGGGCCCAGGAGCATCCCATAGGGGCCCAGGAGCATCCATAGGGGCCCAGGAGCATCCATAGGGGTGGTCAGGAGCATCCATAGGGGGTCAGGAGCATCCAAGGGGTGGTCAGAAGCATCCAAAAGATCCCAGGAGCACCCAAAGGGGTCCCAGGAGCACCCAGGGGGGTCCCAGGAGCACCCAGGGGGTCCCAGGAGCACCCCACATCTTTACCTCCCAGGTGAGGCGCAGGCGGCTGATGGCAGCGTTGTTGAGGCCGATGACGATGGCATAGAAGGACAGCATGTCCTGGTTCTGCTTGCATCTGATGGGGTGGGCAGAGAGTGAGGAGCACACACATGGGGGTGTCCCCCCCCCATCCCCATCCCATCCCCATCCCCATCCCCATCCCCATCCCCATCCCCATCCCATCCCCATCCCATCCCCATCCCATCCCCATCCCATCCCCATGCCATCCCCATCCCATCCCCATGTTATCCCCATCCCATCCCCATCCCATTCCCATCCCATCCCCATCCCATCCCCATCCCCATCCCATCCCCATCCCACCCCATGCCCACACTCACATGGCAGCGATCTTGATGAGCTTCTTGAGCAGATGGGCTCTCTTGCCCAGGCTCTCGCAGAGCAGCAGCTCCGTGCCCACCCAGTGCTGCACCTCACTGCAGCGCTGCAGCAGCAGCTCCAGGTTGGCCGTTTCCCGGCGGCCCCGTTCCCCATGGAACACGTAATCCACAAACTCCAGCTGATGCAGGGGGGGATCCAGACCGTGTCAGAGCCACCCCCCCCTTTACACCGCGGTACAAACCCATCCCCGAGCACCCCCTCCCCGCCCGACCTCATGGATGCAGCGGAAGAGCTCCCAGTGGAAGGCGGTGAGGTGGTTGGCGATGTCCTCCGGCTCCACGCGGTGGATCTCGGTATCCCCGGGGACCACTTGGATCTCCTCCGGCAGCGGCACCTGGGACGGGATGTTGGGATGCTCTAATGGGGATGGAGCACAGAGCAGGGTCCCTTCTCCCTCCCTCCATCCCCAGCCTAACGCGGTGCTCACCAGCGAGTCGAACGTGTCCCTGGTGCATGCGAAGAGGTGGCTGTTGATGCCCAGGGTGGTGAAGACGCACTCCTCGCTGGGCTGCAGCACGGCTTTCTCTGCAGGGACAGGGTCAGCACCGAGCCGGCCCCGCTGCCCAGCCCTGCCCGCAGCACCTGCCCTGCCCCGCGGGTACCTCCGGATGAGGCCACGGTGACGAGGATGAGAGCATCCTCGCGGGCGCTCTGCTCCTCCGAGTACTGCAGCTTCTCGGTGACCGAGGCCAGGATGTCCTGCACCGAGGCCGAGAGGCGGCTCCGGATGGTCACGTACGAGTGGTCGGGCATGTACACGCGGCAGAAGACTGGGGAGAGGTGGGATGGGGAAACTGAGGCACGGGGCAGGAGCTGCTCGTTGCAGCCGCTGGTGAGCAGGGGGGGAGAACCCGGTACCCAGCAACCATCCTGGCACCCATCCCAGCACCCAGCACCCATCCTGGGACCTGGAACCCATCCTGGCACCTGGAACCCATCCCAGCACCCAGCACCCATCCTGGGACCTGGAACCCATCCTGGCACCTGGAACTCATCCCAGCACCCAGCACCCATCCTGGCACCTGGAACCCATCCTGGCACCTGGAACCCATCCCAGCACCCAGCACCCATCCTGGCACCCATCCCAGCATCCAGCACCCATCCCAGCACCCAGCACCCATCCTGGCACCTGGAACCCATCCCAGCATCCAGAATCCATCCCAGCACACGAAACCCAGCCGGATGCTATCCCAGCACCCATCCCTCATCCTGGCACCTAAAACCCATCCTGGCACCCAGCACCCAATCTAGCACCCATCCTGGCACTCATCCCAGCATCTAGCATCCATACAGACACCCAGCACCCAGCCCAGCATCCAGCATCCATCCCAGCACACAAAACCCAGCCAGGTGCTATCCCAGCACCCATCCCTCATCCTGGCACCCAAAACCCATCCTGGCACCCAGCACCCAATCTATCACCCATGCTGGCACCCGAAAACCATTCCAGCATCCAGCACCCATGCCAGCACCTGGTACCCATCCTGGCACCCATCCCAGCATCCAGCATCCATACGGACACCCAGCACCCATCCCAGCATCCAGAATCCATCCCAACACCCATCCCCCATTCTGGCACCCAAACCCCATCCTGGCACCCAGCATCTAAACTGGCACCCATTCTGACACCAAAAACCATTCCAGCATTCGGCACCCATGCTGGCACCCATTCCAGCACCCAGCACCCATCCCAGCACCCATCCCAGCATCCAGCCCCCATCCCAGCCCCCAGTACCCATCCCGGCATGATCCTGGCATCCATCCTAGCATCCAGCCCCCATCCCAGCACCCAACACCCATCCCAGTACCCAGCATCCATATGGACACCCAGCCCCCATCCCAGCTTCCAGCACCCATTGCGGCACCCATCCCAGCATCCAGCCCCCATCCTAGCACCCAGCACCCATCCTGGCACCCATCAAAGCATCCAGCCCCCATCCCAGTACCCATCCCAGCATCCAGCCCCCTTCCCAGCACCCATCCTGGCACCCATCCCAGCATCCAGCATCCATACGGACACCCAGCATCCAGCCCCCATCCCAGCCCCCGGTACCCATGCCGGCACGATCCCAGCATCCATCCCAGCATCCAGCCCCCATCCCAGCCCCCGGTACCCATCCTGGCACCCATCCCGGCATCCATCCCAGCATCCAGCCCCCATCCCAGCCCCCGATACCCATCCTGGCACCCATCCCATCACCCATCCCAGCACCCATCCCAGCATCCAGCATCCATATGGACACCCAGCATCCAGCCCCCATCCCAGCCCCCAGTACCCATCCTGGCACCCATCCCGGCACCCATCCCAGCACCCATCTCAGCATCCAGCCCCCATCCCAGCCCCCGGTACCCATCCTGGCACCCATCCCAGCACCCATCCCAGCATCCAGCATCCATACGGACACCCAGCATCCAGCACCCGGTACCCATGCTGGCACCCACGCTGGCACCCATCCCAGCACCCATCTCAGCATCCAGCACCATCGACACCCAGCATCACCCCCATCCCAGCCCCCGGTACCCATGCCGGCACGATCCCATCACCCATCCCAGCATCCATCCCCCATCCCAGCCCCCGTCCCCCCCGCGCTCACTCTCATCGGAGCCCCGGAACGCCACCCGCGTCTGCAGGCAGGAGTCGATGCGGCGGAAGTGCCTGAAGAGCGGCTTCACCTGCTTGTTCGGGGGGGGGGTCTCGTCGGCCACCCTGCGGCACGCACCGGGGTCAGGCAGGAGCCGCGGCACAGCCGGAGCTCCCAAAGCGCTGCTGCTGCTCCGTGCCCCCCCTGACCCACAGGGACCCCCCCTTTTCCTCCCCGCTCACTTGAGCTCCACGGTCTCCACGAGCTGGTGCAGTTTGAGGATCTCATCCTCCAGGTCGCGGTACAGGGATGTGTCCTTCATGATGAGCAGGTAGAGCTCCTGGAGCGGGGGGGGGAAAGGGGTTCAGGATGGGGGGGGATGGATGAGGACATGGGGGGGTTCATAGAGAGGGGGCACGCACCTTGATCACCTTCCCTGCGCTCTCCTCCTCCTGCAGCAGCCCCTTGTAGGTCTCGAGGAAGTGCAGGAGCACGGCCAGCACCGCCCGCTTGCGCCGCAGCCCGCTCCCGTCCTCCCAGCGCGGCAGCACGAAGGTGGCACCGTCAAGGAGGCCCCAATGCACGGAGGACACCCCGGGGCACCCTGTGCCCACAGTGCACTCGGCCCCATATGTGACCCTATATAAGTCCCCCACTTGCTGCTCCCACCACAGCACCCTCCTTGCCCATCATCTTGTCACCCTCATGGCACTCTCCTGCCCACCCCAAAGCCCTCCTGGTCGCACCTTCATATTCACCCTGTAGCATCCTCTATGCCCAACCTTAGACCCGTCCCACTGCATCCTTGTGCCCCCTCTCATTGCACCCTAATGCCCTTCTCATGCCCACCCCCAACTCTCCCCCCCTTCCCAAGGATATTGCTGGTGCAGCTGCTGCAGGAAGCGCTCCGTGGGCAGGAAGAGCGAGTGTGTGAGCACGATGTCATCCAGCAGCGATTCTGAGGGGGGATTGGGGGGCAGAAGTGGGCACCCCCCCCCGGCACAGCCCCCCAACAGCACCCCCGGGGTCCTGCCCCCCATCAGAGCAGGCAGCCAAGGGGGGCAATGCCGATGACACCAGGACACAGCCAAGGGGGACGATGCCGATGACACCAGGACACAGCCAAGGGGGGCAATGGTAATGACACCAGGACACAGCCAAGGGGGGCAATGGCAATGACACCAGGACACAGCCAAGGGGGGCAATGCCGATGACACCAGGACACAGCCAAGGGGGGCAATGGTAATGACACCAGGACACAGCCAAGGGGGGCGATGCCGATGACACCAGGACACAGCCAAGGGGGGCAATGGCAATGACACCAGGACACAGCCAAGGGGGCAATGCCGATGACACCAGGACACAGCCAAGGGGGGCAATGCCGATGACACCAGGACACAGCCAAGGGGGGCAATGGCAACGACACCAGGACACAGCCAAGGGGGGCAATGGCAATGACACCAGGACACAGCCAAGGGGGGCAATGCCGATGACACCAGGACACAGCCAAGGGGGGCAATGAATGACACCAGGACACAGCCAAGGGGGGCATGCCGATGACACCAGGACACAGCCAAGGGGGCAATGGCAATGACACCGGGACACAGCCAAGGGGGGCAATGCCATGACACCAGGACACAGCCAAGGGGGGCAATGCCATGACACCAGGACACAGCCAAGGGGGCAATGCCATGACACCAGGACACAGCCAAGGGGGGCAATGCCGATGACACCGGGACACAGCCAAGGGGGGCAATGCAATGACACCAGGACACAGCAAGGGGGGCAATGCCGATGACACCAGGACACAGTGGGGGCAATGCCGATGACACCAGGACACAGCCAAGGGGGGCAATGCCAATGACACCAGGACACAGCCAAGGGGGGCGATGCCAATGACACCAGGACACAGCCAAGGGGGGCGATGCCGATGACACCAGGACACAGTCAAGGGGGGCAATGCCAATGACACCAGGACACAGCCAAGGGGGGCGATGCCGATGACACCGGGACACAGCCAAGGGGGGCAATGCCAATGACACCAGGACACAGCCAAGGGGGGCAATGCCGATGACACCAGGACACAGCCAAGGGGGGCAATGGCAACGACACCAGGACACAGCCAAGGGGGGCGATGCCAATGACACCAGGACACAGCCAAGGGGGGCAATGCCGATGACACCAGGACACAGCCAAGGGGGGCAATGCCAATGACACCAGGACACAGCCAAGGGGGGCGATGCCGATGACACCAGGACACAGTCAAGGGGGGCGATGCCGATGACACCAGGACACAGCCAAGGGGGGCAATGCCAACGACACCAGGACACAGCCAAGGGGGGCAATGCCAATGACACCGGGACACACGGGACCCCCCTGCTGTCGGGAGCGGGTTTGGGCCCAGCTGGGTGAGCCGAGGGGCAGGTCCCAGTGGTGATCCCGTCAGCGCCAGCACCCAGTGACCTTTGGACCGGGCACCGCTCCCTCCCCAGCACCAGCGCAACCCTCGCCCCTGGGCCCTGAGCAGGTCCCAGCCGATGGGTACCCAGGGCTGTGTCCTAAGCCCCAGCACCACAGTGATGGGACACCAGGGTCCCTCACAAGCATCTCCCAGGCCCTAGCCGCATGGATCTGTGCCGAGCCATGGCTGAGGCTCCCCCAGTACCCCCATGCCAGGGCGCAGCACCCATGGGATCCAAGCTGCCACCAACAGCAGGACACAGCAGTTTGCGGCACAGCCCGGCCCCCAGCACCCTGTATCAGTGCTGGGGCAGGCAGGGGCAGTGTGGGGGGCCCCCAGCTGCCCCAGCCCTCCCCTGGGGTGCAGAAAGAACCGAAGCCCCCATCCTGGCTGCAGCACCCCCCAGCCCTGCCTCAGTTTCCCCATGTAGCACCCACAGGGACGCCTTTCCCACGCCGGGCTGGGGGGAGCCCCTGGACCCCCCCACCGCCTCCTGCCCCGCTCCCCACCAGCCCAGGCACCGCAGGGCCGGGCCTGGCAGCGTGTTGGTGCAGGCAGGGCCCGGCGCTGCCAGCTCCATCTCGCCCCTTCCCGAAGGCTCCATCGTGGCGGTGGGGGAACCGCACCCGGGCCCGGGGCATCCCTGAAGCGGGGATCCCATGGGGGGGGGGAGCACCCAAAACCACCCCAGGAGCCGCGGGGGGACGGCCCCGGCTCCGCAGCTCGCACCGGGGTTAATTTTAGCCCCGGGATGGTCGGGATTAACCGGTGCCTCCTGCGCCCCATCGGCCTCGTCCGGTCCGGGCACAGCCACCGAGCCCCCGCACCGCTCCCCCCCCGCACCGCGGCGGTGCCCGCTGGGACCCTGCCCACCCCAACCCACGCTCGCCTTGGCCTGGCGCGGTCCCAGCCTGACCTTGGCACCCGCACCCTGCGCGGTGGCAGCCCCGCACCGGGCACCGGCGCCTCCCGCCGCCGTTCTCCCCCCCCCGCATCCCCCAGCGCATCCCGCGGCGGTCGCGGGTGGGCGCCCATCAAATCCTCGCTCCCCCCCCCCCCCAGCGCCTCCGCATCGCCCCCGGGCTCCCGCAGCGCAGCGCAGGGCAGGGCCGCGCTCCCCGCACCGGGCACCCCCCGCGGCCGCCGCTCCCGGGGGTCCCTCCGGTACCTGCTCCGCAGCCGCGGCCGTGAGCTCCGCCCGCCGGGAGCCGCTCCAGGAGCGCGGTCAGGAGCCGCTCGGGGGGCGCGGGAGCGGCGGGGCCGCAGCCGCAGCAGCAACGGGCGGCGGGCGGCGGCTCCGGGCTCGGTGGCTCCCGGTCCCGGTCGCCTCCCGGGGAGGGGTCCTCCGGGGAGCGAAGCGGAGCCTCGGGGGGACGCAGCTCCAGCCACCGGCCCTCGCCCCCCGGCTGCGGCCCCGCCGGCCCCGCCGGTTCCTCGGGCGATGCGGGAGGGCGCGATAGGCTCTGCCGCCGCGCTGCCGGTGCCGGTGCCGGTGCGGGGGGGCGGGCGGGCAGGTGCGAGCCCGGCTTCTTCAGCAACTTCTCCAGCGGCTTCATGGCCGCCCGGGCGCGGCGGCAGCGGCGGCGGCTCAGGGGGCCATGGGCGGCGGCGGCGGCGGCGGCGCGGGGCGGCTCCGCTCGGCTCCGGTCGGGCTCGGGCCCCGGCGCCGTTCCCCGCCCGCCCCGCGTTGCGCCCCGCGGCCCCGCCGGTAGCGCCCGCCCCGCAGCCCCGCCCCGCCGCCGCCCCCGGCCCCGCCGCCGGCACCTGCCCGCCCCCTCCGCACCGGCACCGGAGCGCTGGGATGCGGCGGCACCGGGACGCGGCCCCTCCGTGTCCCCCCCCCTCTTCGCCGCAGCCCCGCACCCGGGATGCGTTGCACAACCCCCGCACCCCCCTCCCCGCCCCGCAGCACCGGACGCGGGCACACACGGGGGCCACGCAGAGCCCCCGCACCTCCCCATTGCCTGTGTCCCCCCCTCCGCCGCACCGGCGAGGGGCGCAGTGTGTGCCCCCCCCCCAGTGGACTGTACCACATCCATGTCACACCCCGACCCCCCATGTCCCTGGGGCACACATTCGGGTTGTCCCCCCCATGGAGCCCCCTCCCCTGTGTCCCATCTATGGGGTCACATCCCCACCTATGGGGTGATGCCCCCCCCCAAGCCCAGTTCTCTGCCCCCCATCACAGCGTGGGAAAGGGCTGGGAGTGGATGCGCCCCCCCCCCACTCCCCGGTGCTGGCTCCCCCGGGGCCGGGCGGGCAGGTCGGGGCAGCTCCTGCCCCCGCGCCGCTGCCAGGCCGGGAACAGGCAGTGCCGGGCCGGGCCTGCTGGGGCAGGAGCCGGGGCAGGAACCGGGCAGGGCAGGGCGGGACGTGGCGCCCGCCCGGGGCTGAGCTGCCGGGTCCCAGTGCCCTGGGTGCCGAGCACCCTCCCTGCCCGCACCCCGACACCCCCAGAACCGGCTCCGCACCGCCCTGGGCACAGCGACAGTGGGGACCGCAACGGGGGGGACAGAGCCTGCACATCCCCATCCCCATCCCCATCCCCATCCCCATCCCCATCATCGGCCGGGTTCATGCCCCGCAAACCTGCGGCTGTAGGGTGGGGTGGTGGCAATATACGCGGGGGAACACAGCGGCTGACCCCATTGCCCACCCAAGGATGGAGGGATGGGGTACGGGGGTCCCGGCAGCTCCTGCTTTGTTCCCGCTTCCTCCGCACCCGGCAGTTGCTTGGCAACTCCAGCCATGCGGCGGCGGGAAAGCAGCAAAACACATCCCTGTATCCCCATCTCTCTGCTGCACGGGCCCTGGTGGGATGGGATGGGATGGCACAGCACAGCTCTCCTCCACCCCATGGCGCTTCTGACACCCCCCCTAATGACCCCAAACCAACCCCATGCAGCTCCTCCATCCCCTATGGGGCAGCCAGAGGAGGGTGCCTGGCTCTGGGTGCAAGCAGCATCCTGCGTGCCCCACATTCGGGCCCATTGGCTCATCCCAGCTCTCTTCCCCCCGCTCAGCAGGGACGGGGGCACCGCTGGAGCAGCCTGAGCTATTGGCTTAATTAATTCGCTGTTATTCCTCCTAACGAGCTGGGATCTGGAGCAGGCGCTTCCCTCCCAAAGCCTGCGCCTCCATTTGCAGCCGCTTGGGCAAGCAAGGGGGGGGCACGAAGCCTCTGAGCACTGCTCAAAACAGCAGGAGGGAAAGATCACACCGAGGGAGAAAACCAGTGCCTCAATCTGCTTCCCAGCATCGCGGGAAGGGGAGCGTGCCTTGGCATGGGGGGGATCCATCCTTCCCCCCCATACTGGTCCCCACTGGGTTGGGATGCAGAGGGAGGCTGCACCCAGCACCCGTTTTGCAGTGGGAAGCCGCGTTGGAGGGAGGCAGCAGCGCAGCAGCTCCAGCACCACCTCCACACCGCTTGTTCCACCCCCTGCAGGGGACAGGGCTGGAGCTGCTCTTCCAGTCCCACCAGCAGCTCCTATGAAGGGAAGAGAAGGGAAAGGGATGCTGGTTCTCCTTTGGAAGCACACGGTGCAGTGAAAGAGAGACAAGAGAGAGACGGATGCTTTCTAACATGTTCTCATCCATGTGCCGATACAACACCGGTTACAAATGTGCATTTCTACAGGACAGGAACCCAAAGAGACAAAACCAAAACCCATCACAGTGTTGTGAGGTCCGGGACTTCAGCCACCAGGACCAATACATCAATGATTCACTTACAGCCTTAAGGCAGAAATATGGAGAACACGAGGGTTTCCTGCTTTGACGCCTGATGTTAGGTACAAAAAGGGCACGGAGTTAGGAACAAGGAACAAAGAAGGGATTGCTGCTGGGAAGCCGGGCATGCAGGAGGAGATCTGGACCAGAGAGCAGGCAGGTGGGCCCTGGGCACCCTCCCTTGGTGCAGATGGGGACTCGGAGGCCAAGATGCCACTTGCTTGCAGCGAGGATGCTCCTGCTCTCCTGTACCAGCAGCTGCCCCAGCACGTGCTCGACGCAGCCAGCATGGGCAGGGATTGGCAGCCTGCCCGCACCAAGCTTCCTCATGCAATTTGCCAACGGCTGCGAGGATAGGGACTGGGAGCTGGTGGGATGCTGCTGGAGACACTGGTGCAGCCGGCACTGCATCGTTGTGCTGCACGGTCCCAGGGAGCGCTGGTTTATGTGGTGGCAAACGCTTCCTGCTGGGGCTGGGAGCCCAGGTTGGATGCTGGGAGCCCAGGTTGGATGCTGGGAGCCCAGGTTGGATGCTGGACGCGTCAGGGCGGGTTCCAACACCCCCCCTTCCACTTCCACAGCAGCAACACCCAAGTGCTGGGAGCAAATCCCTGCCCTGCTCGCCCCGTCTGGCTGGTTTGTGGCTGGCAGAGCTGCTCGGGCAGCGTCGAGGTGCCCATAAACCTCCCTCCCTCCCTCCCTGCTGCTGATCTGGCAGGGGTGCAGGAGGAAACCTCACCCTGCTCTGCAGGATGTGCTTGTGGCACCCCACGCTTGTGCCCATAGATTCCCATTGACAGGAGCTGAAAGCTTGCACAGACGTGGACAGAAACCACCAAAGACACCAGTGACCAACGGGGCTTGTTGGGGAAAAAGGAGCTTCTAAATTAAGTGGTGGCTGCAGAGCCAGCGCGTTCCAACAGCCCCCAATGGCCCAGCTGCCCTCCCCGTGCCTTAACAATGGCAGAAATAAACGTGCTAATTATAAATGAGAATTAGAATGAAGGTCTCAGCTGTCCCCATGGGGGGACGGGGGAGGTGCCGGTCCCATTAGCCAGACAAACAGATCCAAGGTACCCCAAAAAGAAACAAATCAGCTTTACTGAAGGAGCTGGTTCATTTCTTAAATAAAAAGAGAGACCCCAACCAAGCCAATGGAGTTTAACATCCTAGGGAGGGGAAAGGGGCAGACATTTAGTAAGGGAGAGAGAAGCTGAGAGAACGTGTGCCCAAGGCCCTGGGGCTTGATTCCGCAGGGAGGGAAGGGGAAGGAGGGCAGATCAGCAGCAGTGAGATGAGTTTTGGGAGGGCACCGGTAAAACCAGAGGGGGAAGGTGCCTGGCCCTGAGCACAGCTGATTTCCTCCCGCTGCCTCACCTACACGCAGGGAAGAAGCCTTCCCCCAGGAGCTTCCTCCTTGCCGAGGGGCTGAGGCTGGCGTCGGGATGCCCATGGCTGCACCTCTACGTGTTGCTCCTCTCCTTGGATTTTTCCCCTTTGCTGTCCTGGTGGGCAAGAGGAAGGAGAAGGGGAGGTTTTTAGGCTGCAGCAACACCAGCGCGGGGCTGCAAGTGAACACCCTCCTCACCCAGCTGCCAAAACACAACCACAGCCCCCACCCATGCCCGGTGTGGGCACAACCAGCCCCCTCCAGCCCTGCTCTGCTCAGGGTTCAACCCCTTCCCATCACCAGGCCTTTCAAACGCCCTGATCAAGGTGATGAGAGCATCTCGCAGCGCATCGACACGCACTGCGTGGCCCCAGCCCATCACCGCTGCTGCGAGCCTGCCCCGGTCTGCTGGGGCTTGTTGGGTGATTCCGGCTCCCTCTGTGCTGAGCAAGGCATGGAGAACGGAAAGCAAACACACACGTGGCCCCCTGGCACACACACACAGCTCACAGGACCGGAGCAAGGAAACCATTCACAGCGCAGAGAAACAGCTCTTGCCTCTGGGAAGCCTTTATGTCTGCTGCCTGAGCTATCTACTAAGGTCTTGCCTCTTACTCTTCAGGAGAAGTCACTGCCTTCTAGCTTAGGACTGGGTTTTTCTCTCTCTAAAGTGCTCTGCTCTCTACCCTGAGCAAATAAAACAAAACAAAACAAGCAAGAGTCAACTTCAGACTTACTTTTTATGCAGGTTTAGTTTTAAAGTATTTAGAAACTCAACTTAACTGGAACCCTGCTTACCACCTGCAACGAGAAGCTGAAGTATGGGACATGTCAAAGATCAGGTAAAGACTTCCCTGGAACAACGCGTTATATGGGATGGGAGAGGGAGACTGCAGCCCCGCGCACACCCCGAGGGCTCAGCATCACTCATGCATGGGCTCGTGCCGAGGGGATGGTACCTCAGGAGGTGGTGGCTTGATAGTCACGGGCTGGGATGTCCTTCGAGGAGGAGAAGGCTTGGGCTGCACTTGCTGCTGGACAGTGTTGTAGTAGGTGACCCCTCCATAGACCTGGGACTGGGCCTGCGCTCCCCAGAGAGCAGAAGGGTCAGTGGTGGGGGACACAAAAACCTGCATCCCCTGTGAGAGCACCACGGTGCAAAGCTGGGCTGTGACAAGATGCCACCACCGGGCACTGAAGGTGAGAGCAGTCACAGAGGGACCGGGCTCAGTTTGTGCTGAGCTCCACAAGGTCACAAAGAACAGCATCACTTACCCCTGCCCCTCACCAGGGCCTCGGGGCAAGGCCAGGCTGCAGCAGCCCACAGCCACATCAGACTGAAGCTCACAGATGGGTTTCCTTCACCCCCCAGTTTCCCAGCTGCCACAGGACATCTGTGCTTTGCAACAGCAGCAGCTACTACTCTTCTACATGGGCAAGGCAGGCAATGGCTCCTCATCACACCCAGATCCCCTCCAGCTGCAGGGGGCTGAGGATCTTGCCCCCAGACCAGGCTGGTTCCTGCCAGGGCAGTGGGATGGATGCAGCAAGGTTGTAGGGCTTGGGAACGTGCATCCCTGCCGCTTGCCACTGCGTGTCAGCCGTGTGCTGCTGCCAGGAGCAGAGGGCTCCTCCTCCCTGCCCAGCAGCTCCGTGGACACAGAGGTGGGACAGGGAGCAGGAAAAGCCAGCCCCACACTGCTCACACCAAGGGCTTTCCAAGGAATAGCACCAGGCAGTTTCCAGCCTCCTGCCCCCATCTCCAACGGAAAGGGCTTCCAAAGCCATTTTCACAGACTGGTTTGTGCTGGAAGGGACTTTAAAGCTGATTCGGTTCCAACCCCCTGCCATGGGCAGGGACACCTTCCACTAGAGCAACTTGCTCCAAGCCCCGTCCAACCTGGCCTTGAGCACTGCCAGGGAGGGGGGAGCTTCTATTTTCAAGGTGGTGTTTGCTTAGCATGGGCTTGGAGGGGATGTAAAAGGCCCCAGGCTCCCAGTGGGCTGCTTCCCTGTCCTGCAGGAGAAGGCCTTGACTCTAAGACCCACCAATACAGGCATGTCATCCACTAGTCCCTCGTTTCAGGGTACAGCTGTGGCTGCCATCCTTTCCAGTTACCCACCCCAAGCAGGGAGAGGGATGACAGTGAACAACCTCCCACCACAGAGCAGCCCAGCTGCTCCGCATCCTCTCCCAGCAATCCAGAGGGTATATCCACACTCCAGAGGCTCCCATCTGCCTTCCACAGCTCCTGCTGAGGGCGGGCTGTGCAGTGCAGCTGCTTACCTGTGTGTTGGAATAGAGATGCGGAGGGGGCGGAGGGGGCAGCGCTCCCGGTGGGTAGGGATAGCCAGGATTCCCAAAATTCATGACTCCAGGAGGGGAGAAGTAAGTGGGTGCCAGCAGCTGCTGCGGTGGGGGCTGCCCTGGGGGCATGGAGACGGGCGGAGGGTACAGGCCAGGGTTGGCCATGGGGGCTGGCGTCTGGTGGGGATGTAAACCTGGGATGAGAGGAGAACATGCTTAGTGTGGTGTGAGGAAGGGAAGGGAGGATAAAGCACTTCTCAGCACAGTGGAGCACAGCTCCTTCCCCAGTGCAGGGTCCCAGTTCCTGAACCAGCCACAGCCCCAGGTCAGCACATCCCATCCCCTTCTGTAAGCAGTTTCTGAGGGAAGATGGGGAAATGCCAACTCAACAGCTCTCATTTCTGCTTTTCTCCTTTGATCTCGAAGCATCAGGGACCAAAGAACCTGATGCCAAGCGCCCCACTGAAGGGGAAGCAGCTCAGGCAGGAAGGTCTGTGCAGAGTCTGCCAACCCAGGCAGATCCCCTCAGTCCTGTGCTGGCTGCAAGGGCCAGAAATGCCCATTTGTCTCTCCTTTAAGTTTAGATTGATTCAGCCTCCCAGTGCATAAGGGAAGCAGGTCTATTCCATGCTGTAGCAGGCAAAATGGATTCCCCAAGTGACAAGAACCAGAGTTATCAGGGAGCACAACCACATCGCTACCATGCCCCATGCTGGGAAGCCGGCTCCTCACCTGGATGAGGGAGGTGCATTTCTGGCTGTACGATCATCCCCTGGGGCGGCAGCGGGGCTGGGCTCTCACTGTGGGTGTAGATTGGTCCCTGGAATTGTACTGCAACACACAACAGTTGGTAAGGAAAAGCTCCAACCAGTTTTGTTCTGCTGCAGCAAGCCACACGCCCGCCCCAACCAGCCACGGTTACAAGATGCTGTGCTGCAAGCCACATTCCCATCGGCACACGCAGTCTACCAGGCTGACAGATGCTCCATGCTCCCAACAGAAAAGCCTCCTACTCCTTTTACAAAGCAGAATGCTCAGGGAATTTCTTCTCTTGCACTTTAAATGCCGGAGTCAATTCCTCACCCATCCTCTGTAATTCTCCCCGCTCTCAAATGTCAAAGGCATTGCTCTGATTTCAAGTTAATTTTAAATCCTAGTTTTTGTGAAGGAAAGCGGTGTCCTAGAGACTAGAGAGGGGAGGTGGTAACAGTGATTCTGTTCCAGTGGGTTACAGCACCAAGCAGGGAGGCTCAGAGCCACCTTTTCATTTACTGTATGAGACAATGACAAAGCCCCTGACCCTAATGGGATGGGGGGGAGTGGGGGGGACTCCTGCTCCAGCTGCTCAGGTCCAGGCACACACAGAGCCTCGGGAGCAGGATGGAAGCACTCACGTGGGTCATAGTAGTGCCCTTCCATGATGCTGATGTGCATGGGGGGGGCAGGCTCCGGCACCGGTGCTCTCTGCCGCTGCGATGAGTAGCGTTTGACACGGCCCCCTTGCACGGCCTGAAAGAGCCCAAAGGCAACGGTGAGGGTCAGGAACCCTCCAGCCCTTCCCAGCCCCTGCAAACCTCCCATCTGGGTCACGCAGCAAGAACTGGGAACACCCACAAAAGGGAAAGGCTGAGGTGTCCCAGGCAGCCTCTAATTACCACAGCCCACAAACAAGTGCACTTCTAAAAGCAAGAGTCACGCTCCACGCAACATGCCTTACCATTTCCTCCATCCTGTTAAACTGAGGCGGTGGTGGCCCAGTTCCCACGTGCATGTGGTGGTTAGGAATACCTGAGGAAGAAACAGACTGGTTATTATGGTTTGTATTTATTCCTAGGAAAGAGCCACCTCACCTAACAAGGGAGATACCAGGACATGATGTCCTACCAATACCAATAGTACTCTTGCTTGCCTGACAAGGAACCATCTGACAAGCTCACCTCTTCAGCTACCACGTGAAATGTTCCAGGACAGATGAGGAGCTGCTGTATCACTCTACAATCACCCATGCTGCTCAACACCTTTGAAACCTTGCTAACAAAGAGAAGCCCTCAGCCTGAAATCCAGGTCCTGATCTATAAAGCCCTGCTCCTGCCGAGACAGGGATCTCCTCAGAGCACAAACAAGGAGCCACGTGGGACTGGGTAAGCTGCAGTTTAAACCCTCTCCAGGGTGTAACCACTTTTAGCACGGGCTCCTTTTAATCCAAACAACAAAGTTCTGGCACACGTTTAAAAGCACGGTGCCAAGCTAAGCCCAGGTGATCCCAAGGGAGCCAAAGTGGACAAACCAAACAGTGGAAGTGCCCATGGATCACTGGTACTGCAACACATGCACCCGTGCCAGCCAAAGGCCTCCTAGGATCCTGCCTTCTCTGCTAGGAAGAAACAAAAGGGACAGTGGATTAGGATGTCCTTCTGCCAAAGTGCTCCCCTCCTGCAGCCTGGAGCTGTCTCGTGGTAAATCTGTGAAGATGTTTTATTTCTAAGCCTAAAAAAAGGAGTCTATGATCTCAGCTGCAGCTCACAGCACATTGGAACTCTCATCCCACTGACACATTTAAAGCCTGTCTCCTCACATCCACAGTCAAGACCGAGAGTCTTCACACAAAGCTCTTGCCAGTCGCATCAGTACAAGATGACTTATGGTTTCATGACCTAAACCTCAAGAGATGCTTATGAAAGCAGCGAGCTGCTCGCTTCTCCTTGCTCCAGTTTTATTTCCCTTGGGAAGAACTCCAACAGCCCCCAGAAAGGATTCTCATTCTGCAAAGGGATAATTATACCTGAGTGACCTCTTGCATGGAGGCTCAACTAGAACTCAGCTCTCAGCTCACACAGGGAAACTCTGCCTCAGATCCCTCCCGCTGCTGCAAATGGAGCAGCTTCCTCCTACGAGGCACAAATTCATTTGCCAATCCCAGCCAGGCCTTGGCTAGTGCCAACTAAATCCCAATGCTAGGAGCTACACTGATAAACAGAGGAAAGCTCCCTCCTGCTCCTAGCTAAACACTGCAGGAGCCTGGTTATCCATCACCCTACCCACCAAGCCAGCACAAGGCTCCTCATCTCCTGAACAATGACTCTGGCTGCAGCAGCCAGCCTCACTGTGATTCCCAAAGTCCCCTTTTCTCTGTTTCGTCCCCTCTAACCACCTCTACTGCATTTTCTCAGCATCCCTGGCCTGGATCCACCTCAAGACTGAGGCAGGCACAGTTCAGCTCTCCCTGTCTGCTGTTTGGCTGGAGCTGAAAGCCAACAGCCAGCACCCACTTACCCCTCAGCTCCCGGGGCTGTATGAACTGAGACTGCCCTGGAGCCCAGTTCTGCTCAGCGAGATTCATTTGGGTCATTTCTTGCTCGAGTCCATCCAAGCTGGGTTCTACTGGTGACTCCCAATTGCTGCTCTTGGCTGGTGGGAGGGATGTCTCAGCTTGCACGGGTTTTGGAGGCACAGGAGCCAGCCCTTCCGAAGCGGGCACTTCATCCGCCAGCTTCCCTGCATCCCCAGCTTTGATTCTGGTCCTTCTTGCCCGGGAATAAGACTTCTTTTCAACTGGTCTGTCTGGTGGTGGCTGGGCAGCATCTGCAGCTGTGGCTTGGTTTTCCAAAGCAACCTCCTCCCTTACAGGGCTGCTGTGGACGTGCCCTGCTTCCACCTCAGGTGACTTGTCCCTCGGTGGGGTCTGCTCTGCGTGCTTCCCTCGGTAGCTGCTCTCCTGTTTCACTTGCTCACCATTCCGAGACAGATGCTGGATGCTGGCTTCCGAAGCTCGGTAGCCTGGACGGCTCTCTTTGTAGCCCCCCAGCCTCGGGTAATTCCTAGGTGGGGGCATCCTCCCCGTCCCTGCAGAGCTCCTGTTGGTGAAGGTTCGTGGGGGAGCTGAAGTGCTGTCTGCCCCTTGGTGCCTTGGGGGCTTACTGGGCCTCTCGTTGGACCAGTTTGGATCTCGCTGAGGAGGACTCCCAAACCTGAGGGGGGACAAATAGAACAAACAACTGGAAACAAATTCCTGGTGCAAGGTACCACAGGGAAACCCTCTCCAGGATGCCCAGAGATCCCAGCACCAAGGTCACACCTCAGAGACCAATGCCACCAAGAGGGCTTCCCCACTTTGGCATTTCAGACCTGTCTCCCTCTGGGAGAAGCCAGCTCCAGTTTGACTTTGCTGCTCACCTCGGTTTGCGCATCCTCCTTGGCTTGATGTCATCAGGGTTGTGCGCTGACCTGATGTCGTAGCCATAGAGCGCGATCAGCTCCTGCCTGGTCTTGGGGGCTTGCTCGTCCTCCCGGAACTTGTCATGCTCCCAGCGGCCCTCGTCCTTCCACAGCTTCCGCTGACGACCCTTCGGCCTGGAACAGTCACATCAGGAGTTGTTACCAAGGAAATCACAGCATCACAGTATGTTAGAGATTGGAAGGGACCTCGAAAGATCACCTAGTCCAATCCCCCTGCTGGAGCAGGAACACCTAGATAAGGTTACACAGGAACGTGTCCAGGCGGGTTTTGAATGTCTCCAGAGAAGGAGACTCCACAGCCTCCCTGGGCAGCCTGGTCCAGTGTTCTGTCTTCTTCTCAGGTTTAAGTGGAACCTCTTGTGTTCCAGTTTGTACCCATTGCCCCTTGTCCTATCATTGTTTGCCACTGAGAAGAGCCTGGCTCCATCCTCGGGACACTCCCCCTTTATATATTTATATGCACTAATAAGGTCACCCCTCAATCTCCTCTTCTCCAAACTATAGAGACCCAGCTCCCTCAGTCTTTCCTCCTAAGGGAGATGCTCCACTCCCTTCATCGTCTTAGTTGCCCTGCGCTGGACTCTCTCCATCAGGTCCCTGTCCTTCTTGAACTGAGGGGCCCAGAACTGGACACAATATTCCAGATGCGGTCTCACCAGGGCAGAGTGGAGGGGAAGGAGGACCTCTCTCGACCTACTAACCACCCCCCTTCTAATACACCCCAGGATCCCACTGGCCTTCTTGGCCACAAGGGCACAGTGGCAGCTTCCACCAGCCCCATGCCCAGACACCAAGTGGTTCTAGGGCTGGGTGTGCACAGGCAACAGCTCTCTTCCCCATCACCTTCTGCCTAAGAGCTCATCTCCATCTCCCCTCTGTCAGTTTAGAGCCTACGGGGTTATGCTCACATACCTGACCTCCTCCTCCTGCGTCTGCCCTCGGAGGTCATGCTCAAAGAAGAGCCCTTTCCGTGGGATATAAGCTGGGTTCTTCCGATCCTCATCATCATCCAGGTGCTTGGGAACCTTCTTCCCGACTTTATTCTCCACGGGTTCGGTGCTCTCCTGTCAAAATCACAGCTCTCACCACTACAGCAGTCCCCCTGTGAGAAGCCTCCCCCATGGCCCAAAGAACCCATGCTTAACACCTACCTGCCCGTCCCCGCTTTGCCTCTCACCAGTCACAGCACCCTTAGAGTCTGGTTTCTCATCCCCTTTCTCTGCTTTCGCCGCTGATCCGGAGGAATCGTTACTGTCCTGCTTCAGTTCCACTTTGGCACTTTCTTCCTCGCTGTAATCCTCTTCCTCTGCCTGAGAGAGCCTCGGTTACTCTAACGTGGACCTTTAGCAACAGCTTCCCCAGGAGTTTCCCCACACAAGTCCCCACATTTGGAGTCAGATCCTTGTTCCAGCTGTTGAGCCCTGCCCCTCTCAAAGCAGTGGATTAGCTCTTAAGGTCCTTCTCATCCCTGAATTTTAACGGGAAAAGCAAACCAAACCCACCCCCTCTCCCCATCCCAATGAGGTCTAACAGTCTGGCTTTCCAGTCTGGGATCAGCTCCATTGTAAAGGCAAGGAGACAGCGAGCAAAGGCCCTTGGACCATCCCTTCCTTCCCATGCCAGGGCCCGGCCCCAGCCAGCACCGCTTCCAGATTCCCTGGAGTCACTCAGCTGAGTCACTGGGAGCTCTCTGCTCGCAGGAGCTGACCTGGTTTCACCCTCCAGGAGCCTGCAAGCCCTGCTGAGGCTGAACCCACACTAAAAATAGCCCCGTGTGATTAACAAAAAGACGGCTCTGTTTTTCTCTTTCAACACAGCGTATTTGCACATCAACTGCTCCTTTTGTTTACGCTGGGGAAGCCCAGACAGGGCATTATTTTTAGGCACAGGAACAGAGTCATCCTGGCACGGCAGTGATGCAATACCCCCTGCAACCTGCACCAGTGCCTCCATGCAGCTTTCCAGGCACAAAGAGCTGCTGCACCATGTGCCACCTCTGCAGCCTCCTCATCAATGACACAGATTAACTGACAAAGTACAGCCCTAGGGGCTTTGATTTCATCTGCCTCGTTGTCCTGTGTTGTCTTTAATTGCTGCCCCCCTCCAGACCCCCAAACCAGCTGCTTCAAGAGAAGGGTTCCCACTAGAAAACCTTCATCGTCATCATTAGAAACCACTTCTCTAAACTGCCTGGAAATGGGAAACTTGCTGTTCTGAGCTAAAAACCTCAGCCACAGGGCACAGGCAGGGGGGCTCAGGTGGGATTTGCTCCATACAGAGCCAGCACAAAGCTCTCAACACTCCCAGGGCACATTCCCCTTCCAGCTGCCACACACAGGGATGCTTCAACCCAACACGCATCCTCCGCTTCCTTCCACACCCTTCTGGCCCATGGCTCCCAGTATCCCAAACACCGGTCCCACAGCCACCCCAGCAGCACAGTGGCTTCTCTGTACACAGGGAACCACTGGTGAGGGGCTCGCAGCAGTGGCACTGACCACGCTGCTGGTACCTTGAGACAAAAGCAATGCTGCCAACGGGGTAGTGGAAAACGAGGGACACAAAGTGGGGTTTGTGCTGTTTATGTGAGGTGCAAACAGTGGGCAGAACACTCGGAACAGCGGGACAGGGACTGCTCTTACCTCCGAGTCTTCGGCGCTTTCATAATCCGAGAGCACAGCTGCAGGGGAGAAAAAGGAGTCGGGTGTTAGGGCAGGAGCAGAAATGCAGCTTCTCTGTGAGTGTAACAAGCAGAGGGGCACAGAGCCCCCTCTCCAAGGCAGAGGCCAGCACTGAGCGTCCCCAACAAACCCCATTGCCAGCATGGGAGGAAGCAAGGATGAGTTTGGCTCTTTCTGCCCCTGCACCCACTGTTTGCCCACCGTTATGAGTTCATATTTGGGACTGCACCAACTGCAGGGCCATTGGAGAAGGCGTTTTGTCCAGCTTTCCCATTTGGCACACGGACAGCAGAGCCAGGATGTCGTTACTCACCGTCTCCCTCGATGCCATCCTCGCTTTCCTGCAGGAGAGGGGGAGAAAGGCGGGTTAGCAGAGTGGGAGGCAGCAGCCCAGTCCCGGTATCATCCCACACACAATCCCAGCAACAGCTGGCTCTGCTCCTATCGCATCCGCCCTGGGAAGCTGAGCTCCAGTGAGCAGGAACAGAAACAAACCCAGGGCTCCCAAGGCCTTTTACTTGGGTCTTTCTAAAGCAGCTCAAGAAGAAACCAGCACAAACTGTAAAGTGCTGGAGGGCTCAGAAGGGAAAGAGCAATGCCAACGATGCCAGGGCCTCTCCCTCAGTAACGAGGGGCAGACAAGGCAGCTCCAGGAGGATTCCTTAAAGCAGGATTAAGGAATAGATGCTGAGCATGTCCTTGAAACTCCAGTGACAGGAGCACAGCCCTGCACCCTGGAGAAGCCGCTGGCTCATGGAACCATGGACCACATGAAGCAGAGCAGCTCAGATCTGGAAGTTTTTCGTTAAAAGAACACACTGATCAAGCTGTGAAAACAAAACCAGACCAAAACCAGACAACGTGCTAACGGGGCCAAACGCCAAAACTGAGGGGGAAACTTGGAATAACCAGCCCATGAACCCAGGATGGGAGGAATTCGCATCCAGACCAGGGCAGGAGCCCCAGGCCGCGGGGCAGCAGCGCCAAAACTTCCCTCTAAAGGTTTCCCTTCCATAAGGGAAGCCGCTCAGGGCGGATCCATGATGGAAGAGGGCAGCAAACCCGCACCTGCACCCCCCGCAGGGACCCGGCTGGGGGGGATTCAGCCCCTTCCCGGTGCTGGAGCCCGGCTCTAATGGAAACGCAAGGGCGGGACCCAGCGCAGGCCCCGCAGCGCCCATCGCCCCCCCCCGTACACCCGCACTCACACACTCGGACTCGGGCGCGCTCTTGGCCGCTCCCCCCGCAGCGCTCTCGGCGCCGCCGCGGCCCCGCGGCCCAGCGCTGAGGGCTCCGGCAGCGCCCCGCGGAGGGCGGTGCTGAGGCCGCGGGGACCCGGAGCGGGACCCGGAGCCGGAGCGCGATGGGGAGCGGGCGGCGCTGGCGGCCGAGGCGCCGCTGTCGGAGGCGGCCGAGTCCGAATCCGAGTCCTCGCTGTCCTGCGAGGCGCGCTGCCGACGCCGGTCCGCCATCTTGGCCAGCGCGCGGGGCACGCCGGGACGGACTACAGCTCCCGGCGGACCCCGCGGCGGGTGACGTCAGCGCAATCCCGGCAGCCTTCGCGTCAGGGCCGCGTCGACCCGTTCCTACACGCGTGCTCCTCTGCCCGGCAGGGGGCAGGCGAGCGCCGGGCAACGAGCCGACGTCACCGGGAAGGTTGCGTCACTGCGCCGGAAGTGACGTCACGCGCGGGGGGGCGGGCTCGCGGTTCTTTAACGGTAAATAAAAAAATATCAAAAATAAACACCGAAATGTAAAAAACCAAAAACAAACCCTCACGTGACCCCCCCCAAACTTCACATTTGCGACGCAAATTTCAGGCTTTTCAAAGCGCTTTTCAGTTTCACACCAAATTTCAGGTTCTCGAAGGAAATTTCAAGGTTTTTGTAGCAAATTCCAGGTTTTCCAAGCAAAGTTCAAGGTTTTTGTAGCGAATTTCAGGTTTTCGAAGGAAATTTCAGATTTTCCAAGAAAATTTCAAGGTTTTCTAAGCAAATTTCAGGTTTTCCAAGCAAATTTCAAGGTTTTTGTAGGGAATTCCAGGTTTTTGAAGCAAATTTCAAGGGTTTCGTAGCAAATTCCAGGTTTTCAAAGCAAATTTCAAGGTTTTTTACCCAAACTTCAGGTTTTTCAAGCCAAACTTCCTGGTTTTCGAAGCAAATTTCCTCCTTAAAACGTGTTTTCACACCAGTTTCACCCCATTAATGAGCCCCCTGGTGCCCCATAGACACAGCCCCATGGCTGGACCCACCCTTGCGGGGGTTGGGGGTAAATCCCTCCAGACCCCCAGATAAGGGACTCAAAGACGTGGCTTTGCTGACCTTTGACCTCTTTAATCGCTGCTTGGGGGGGAGGGGGAGGGACCCCCTCCCCATGGCCGGTGCCACCAAGGGGGGGGGGGGGGGAGGATCCATCCCCATCTCATCCCTCGCAACCCCCACTGCCTCAGGCAAAACTTCAGCAACCTCCAAACATTTAAATTATTAACAAAAAAAACAACCCAACAAAATTAACAAAAAAAAACCCCAAAATTGTGCGTTCAGGAGCTCTATTTCACAAAAAAAAAAAAAAAAAGAGGAAAATAGAAGGTTTTTAACCCCCCCCCTTCCCCCCCCCCCCCCGACCCTGTCACAGCCACTGAGAGGGGGACAAACACCCCAAAGAGCGCTCCCGGGAAGCACCGTGCCCCCACCCTGGTGTCCATCCCGTTTCCTAACTAACAACAAGGCAGCGATTCCCAATGGGATGCGGCATTCCCCAGCACCGGCTCCACGCTGAGTGTCCACAGGATCCCAAACACGGGCACCAAGGATGGGGCTGGGGTCCGTGAGCTGTTGTTGGGACTGGAGCAGCCGGGATACAGGGTAGGGTTGGGGGAGCCTCATCCATCTGCGGCACAGGGAGATGAGTCCGAAGAACGCTTGTGAAACCCAAGGGAACAGAACTGGGATCACGGAGGGACGGATCCATCCGTCCAAACACGGCTGTGGGATGAGCCAGGGATGCCCCAAGCTACTTCCGACAGGTCCGGTGCGGCGTCTGCTTCTTCTGCACCTCCAATCGGCAGCGACTGCGCTCGTCCAGCCAGGGCAGCTCGAAGTTCCTATGGGAAGAGACAAAGCCATTCCAGTGCCTTCCCAGTGGGGACCGGTACGAGCAGCCACATCCCTCCCCGCTGCCGGGGACCACGGTACTCACTGTGGGGTCAGTTTTGGTAAGGGCCGGCCAAAGGCGACGACGGGCAGGTAAGGGGTGATGAGCAAGCTTTCCACTGTGGGAGAGATGGGAGCGTTAAGGACCCCCTTACTTATAACCCTAATTCCTCTCCCTGCATCCCGCTGCCAAGGATACTCACCATCATCTGGCTCAGGGAAAAATGAGGTAACTTCAGGTTCCGACTCCTGAATCCCTTTCCTTTTGTACATTCGGAGCTGCAGCCGCTGTAGAATTCTCTGTTCCCTGATCCGCTGGATATCCCACCTGGAAAACAGGATGCCCATGGGATGCTCAGGAGGCTGTGCCAGCAGCCACATCCCTCCGCTGGCACCATTCCCGGGTCCCATCCCCGCTGCAGCCCAGTCCTGCACCCCACAGAGGATCTGCTGTGCTGGGGACCCCCAGTCCTGCATCGCCCTCTTTGCTCCCACCTTTTCCTTCGTTTTTCATCCAGCTCCAGCTTCGCGTGCCGCTTGGAAAAGACACTGTCATCCAGGTTCTGTAACAACAGATGAGGGTGAGCGCCGCCTCCCTGCACCAGACCCGTGTCCCACAGCCTGAAGCCTCATTCTTCACCCTCACCCCATCCCAACAACTGCAGTCAGGGTTTATGCTGGATGAGATGCCACCAGCCCCAAAGTGAGCACTGAGCTGTGCTCCGGGAAGGCTCCAGGTATGGGAATGGTGCACGTACCTCCAGGATGTCTGAGGGGTTGGGGTCTCTCAGGGGCTCCACGACGTGGTCCCTCCAAGATGGAACTGCAGGATGAGAGGCCAAGTGTTAGCTCCACACTGGCACCCCGACATTCCCATGCTCCAGCCTCATCCCACCGCCTCACTGCTCCTTTCCAGCCCATCCATCCCTTGGAGGGCACGGCTTGGCCCATCCCCAAAAGCCCATCCTGAGCCTGGCCAGGCAATGCCGCTGGTTGAGGTGTAGGGAAGAGTTCATCACCATGCCCCCGGCCAAGCGCACGAGCAAACCTGAGCTGCTCCAAGAGGAGATGTGCCGGGGCGCTGCCCATCGCCGGGAATCACCACGCTGCAGGAGCCAAGGAGAGCGGCTGGGAAGGGGCGGCCAACAGGACAAGGCACCGGATTTGGGGGCAGCAGCCGACCCCGTGCTATGCCACAGTGGCACAAACCAGAAACACGTTCCCCCAACCACAAACGGGAAGTTGCTTCAGCCCTCGCTCAAACGGGTGCACCAGAGCAGAATGGGGCTGGCAGCACCAACCCAGTGCGATGCCTTGGTTTGGGGGAGCCCAGCACCAGAACCGGAGCTGATCCCCATTGCCATGGGAGGAACCAGCAGCACCACACACCCGGCTGCACCTCTCCCACTGCTTTGTGGGGCTTTGCCCTTTGCCAGCTTCAGGGTGAGGGCGCTGAGCCCCATTCCCCAGCACCCCGAGGCGGGTGAGCCCATGTCCAGCTGCCGGCTCTGCCCCAAGGCCTGGCACACACCACGGTGCCGCTCGCTCTCCATCATCTCTCCATTGCTTACTTGCCACAGTCTCCTCCTTCTTTGGGGAGGGCTCCCGCAAGGGCAGCGGTGACGGCGGCGGCTGGTGCCAGCGGCACAAGTACATTTCCGTGGTGGAGAGATAGGGCAGGTCATCCGCCTCGCTGCTGAAGAAGCTCTTCTCCTTGGGGTGGGCACCGGGGCCCTTGGGCAGGGACGAGGCTCGGAGCGGGGTCTCCAAGGGCGCCCTGGGTTTTTCCGGAGTCTCTTGGCTCCGCAGTTCCCGTTTACAAACAGTTTCGGACAAGGAGCCCCCCGATTCCTCCTTCCCCGGGGAGTGCTTTGGAGTTTTACTCTTCACTTTGGAGAACTCGGACACCAGTTTCTTAACGGGCGTCTTCCTCTCCGTGCTCCCAAACGCTGGCTTCCTGTGGGAGGAAGAAGAGCTGAGCCAGGCACGTGGATCCTCACCCCGTGCTGGGGCTGCCAGGGCTGTGCAATGGGGCTGGCTGGAGGTGGGTTCCTCCATGTGAGAGGGGCTCCACTGGCATTTTGGGGTCCCCCCACCCAGGGTTTCATGAGGTTCCCTCCATCCGGTGCTCAATGGGATGCGCTCCCAGTACCGAGCAGCACTGGGATGGGTTGGTACCTTCACACCCTCCATCCCCACAGATGGAGCGTGAAGCCATGGGGAAGGTCCCCTGCTTTCCCTCCCAGAGCCCCCTGTACCTTTTATGCCCCTTCCCATTGCGGCCATAGGGGAAGTGCTTGGGCTGAAGGGTCGGGGGGGGCTCCAGCAGGTCCTGGGGACACTCCAGGGGCAGCTTCTCGCACGCTTCTGCCTCCGGCTTCTCGTCCACCTCGAAGCCCTGGAAGATGCGGTGCTTCTCCCGCTCGCTGTCCTTCTTCACCAGCTGCACCCTCCTTTCCATGCGCTCGATGCGCGCAAGGAGCTGCAACACAGGCTGAGGGTGAACCCCCCATGCACCCCAGCTCCGCAGGCAGCTGCCTGCGGTGGGCATCGCACCCCTGGACACTTCAGCTGCGATGCAGGCATGGACCAAGATGTCCAAACGGCACAAAATGGCCACTGGCTTCTCCCCATCAGCATTGCCCATCCCCATGGATGCAGACCCCACGTTCTAAGGAATCTGGGGGTCTCGACATCAGCTGCACTCTCCCCAGGAGGGAAAGGGTGCTTTGTAATCGGATGCAGGCTTCGTTAGCATTCATTTTGGTGACACCCAAACCCAACCCTCCATTCAGCAAAGCGCAGTCAGGGGGTCCCTGAACCCCACGGGGGATTTGGCTGTGGGGCAGGAGGAGCCTGGAGCACCCGGGATTTGCCAACCCCATCTCCATGGCGTGGCTGAACCACAGCAAACACCCATCGCGGGCTCCAGTAGCACCACGTGGGGCAGCTTTTCCCTCCACAACCAGCGTGGTTTCCTGGCACATGGCATGTGGGGATGCAGCTGCACCTTGGGGTGCACTGCAGGCAGGGCATGGGGGGGGAACAACATGCAGCATCTATAGGGTGATGCAGGCATGGGTGCATGAGCCATGCAGTGGGGTGCACGCAGCACACCCCACTGTATCCCCACATGAACAGCACAAAGCCGGCAGCATTGTGGGGTATGGGGGGTGTCCCACACGCCCCTCTTGAGGGGCAGCCCCACTGCACTGACCCACGCGTGGCCGGGACCGTGGGGACGCGGCCCCTTTAAGTTAAGCTCCGCGCAGAGAAAAGGGGCCGCGGGCCCTTTAAGGCCCCCCCCCTCCCGCGGGTCCGCTGTCATGGCGACGGGCGGCGGCCCGTTAACCCCCGCCGGCCCGCCCCGCCCCGGCCCTTTGTGCCCCCGCCGGGCCCCCGCCCCCCGGCGGCCTTTGTCTGGGGGGGGGGGGGGCACCGACCCCGGGGGTACCGGCCCCGCTGCGCTGCCGGGGGGGTTAAACCCTTGGGGGAGGCATTAACACCCTGCGGGGCAAGGGGAAGGGACTGATGCCCCCCCCCCTCCCCGGGTATTCCTACACACACGGGGGGGGCATTAGGACCTAATGGGAGCCGTTAACCCTTGGGGTGCCACGGGGGTGGCAGCAGCCACAAGGAGGGCCATTAACCCCTGCAAGGGGGGGGCTTAACCCATTGGATGCCATGGGGGAGGCGATAACTGTTGCAAAGGGGGGCATTAATCCCAAGGGGGACTGTTAACTGCTCATATAGCACGGGGTTGGGGGTCGGTAACCAAAGGGGGGACATTAGGCCCCAATGGGGTTTGTTAACCCCACAGGAGGGGCCGTTAACCCCGAAGGGGGGGCATTAGGCTCCAATGGGGGTGTTAACCCCTGGTGTGCCACGAGGGGGTGATGTTAACCCCAAAGGGGGGCATTAACGCCTGCTAAAAGAGTCGTTAACCCCTGGGGTGCCACGGGGGGCAACTAGGGGGCTTAACCCCTGCAAGAGGAGGGGCATTAACCCCAAAGGGGGGGGGTGTGTTAACCCTCGGGGTGCCAAGAAGCAGGGCATTAACCCCATGTCGGGGCGTTACCGCCTGCAACGGGGGTGTTAACCCCTGGTGTACCACGTGGGGGGGCTTTATACTTACCTATTACGGGGGGCAGCCCATAGGGACCCCTGGGTATTGGGGCCGGGGGGGGGGGCCGTTAACCGTGAGAAGGTGACACCGAGGATGGGGGGGGGTTAACCCGAGCTGTGCCGCGTTCCCTCCCGTTCCCCCCCCGCCCCGTACCGTGTCCCGCTCGGCCTTGAGCTCCTCGATCTGCCGCTCCTTGGCCTGCAGCTGCTGCTGCTGCTGCTCGATGAGGTCCAGCTGCAGCAGCAGGATCTGCCGCAGACATGCCGCCTGCCCCGGCGACCCGCCGCCGGCCCCCATCGCTCCTCGCCGCGCTCCGCTCTTCCACTTGCCCTCGGCGGGCGGCGGCGGCGGAGGCCCCGGTTCGACGGGCCCAGCTCCGGGCCCCGGCCCCGCCGCGCCCTCCCCGGCGCCGCGCCCGGGCAGCACGGCCTGGCAGCGCGGCCGGGCGCCCGCATCCCCCGCGGCGGCCTGCCTGCCACCGGCCAGCGGCACCGGCCCGGCCCAGCGCTGCTGCGGCTGCTGCTGTTGCTGCGGCTGCTGCTGCTGCTCCGCCGCCGCCGCCACCACCCCGCCGCCGCGGCCCTTGTGTGCCCCCAGCGGCGGCGGCGGCGGCTCCCGGGGCCGGCGGGGCGGCAGGCGGTGCGGTGCGGAGCCCTCCTCCCACTCCTTCTCCTCCTCCTCCTCTTCCTCCTCCTCCTCCCGCCCCGCCCGGAAGGCGGTGGACCTCATGGCCGGGGCCCGCCGCTCCGCACCGCCCCGTTACCGCCCGCGGAGCCCACACCGGCTGCGTGGTGCTGGGGGTTGCGGCGGGGCCCCGGTGCCATCAGCGCAGCGCATCCCCGAGCCGGGGCGGGGGGACACGGGCAGACCCCTGAGCCCTCACCCGCTGCGGGGCAGGGGAGGGGCCGAGCCGCGGACCACGCCGGAGGGGAAGGGGGGGAAATGGAGGGTGCGGGTGCGGGGCCGGTAACGGGGTTGGGTCAAGGCCGGGGCCGCGTTGTGGCCCCCGGTTACCTTTAAACGGGGTGCGCATGCGCAAGGCCTGGACGGGGCGGGAGAGCGGAGTTGAGCACACACCGGGAGCGGGGCCTGTTTCCGCGACCGGAATCCCCCGGTGGGGGGGAGGGGGTACCCCCACACACGGACTCCCCCGCCCCGCTTCCCGCCCCGGGCCCTGCGGTGGGGCCCGCACCGGACGCGCCGCTCCCGCGCCCGGGAATCCCGGACCGCAGTAACGGGGCGCGGCCGCCCGGTGGCTCCCGAGCGCGGCGGCTCCGCCCGGAGCGCGCGGGTTCCGCGCCTGCCTGCGCCCCCCCCCTCCCACAACCGGCCCCTACCCGGCCCCACCGGGATGCGAGGGCACGACACGCACTGTCGCGATACCCCCATAGGGGGAAGAAAAGGGGGGTCCGCACCCCCCCCCCCGCGGCTGCACCCCTGCATGTGGGGAGCTCCTGGTGTGCGCGTGCAAGTGTGCGCACAGACACACCCTGCAGCCCCGGCGCACACACGTGTCCATGTACACGCATGCACACGCACGCACCCCCCTGCAGTGAGGGATCGCAGCCCCGGCTGCAGGCACACGGCCCGGACTGCAGCCCCAGCACGAACACGTGTGCACACACGTATGCAAACACACATGTATGCACACATTTAGGCACACTAACACGTATGCACACAAACAAGTATGCACACATATATGCACACTAAAATGTATGCACACACATAGCACACATGTATGCAGATAACACGTATGCACACTAATATGTATGCATACAAACACCTATCACATGTATGCACACTAACATGTATGCACAGAAACCTGCATGCACACAAACATGTATGCACAAACACATATGCAAACTAACACACATGCACACTAACACACATGCACACATGTATGCACACTAACACATGTGCATACTAACATGTATGCATATTAACACATGCACACTAACACGTATGCACACACGTATGCACACATGTGTGCACACTAACATGCATGCACACGTATGGACGCTAACACATATGCCTACATGTATGCACACAAACACATATGCACCCATGTATGCACACTAACACGTATACACACAAACACGTATGCACATTAACATGTATGTGCAAACATGTATGCACACTAACACATGCACACTAACATGTATGCATAGTAATAGATGCACATTTATGCACACATGTATGCGCACTAACACGTATGCACACATGTATGCACACTAACACATGCACACTAACATGTACGCACACATGTATGCACACATGTATGCACACATGTATGCACACTAACATGCATGCACATTAACATGTATGCACACTAACATGTATGCACACACGTATGCACACATGCATGCACACTAACATGTATGCACACTAACACGTATGCACACTAACACGTATGCACACTAACACACATGCACACTAACACGTATGCACACACGTATGCACCCCCCCTCCCCGCCCCACTGGGGACACGCAGGGGACACACCAGGCACGTGCCGGGGACGTGCAGGGGACACGTGGGGGACGTGCATCTCCCCACAGCCACGTCCCCAGCAGTGAGAACATTGGGGGGGGGTCCCCTGCACCCACATCCCCCCTCCCCTTGTGGGTCCCAGCATCCCGGTTTCCCACGGTGACACCCACCCCCCCGTGCCGCGGGTCACACCAAGCCCCCCGCCAGCACACGCGTGGCAATGGCGGCGGCGGCAGCAGCAGCGGCGGCGGCCCCGGGGGTTCCCGGTGCCCCGGTGCCCGTTGCGGCAGGCCCACGTGCCGCCCGGGCGCCCGCCCGCACATGGCTCTGCAGCACCGAGGCTGCTGGGGCTAAAAATGGAGCAGGGCTCACATGCCAGCGCCACGTGACGCCGCAGCCAGCTCCTGCCATGGAGAGGAGGAGGAGGAGGAAGGGAGCAGCCGCTCACCGGGGTTGCCAAAGACCCCATAACCAGGCCCAGCGCCCCGCAGCCCGTGGCCATTGCTGTGTCCTGTGGGGTTTGGGCTGCCCCATATCCCCCCCCCCCGGATGTGCTTTGGGAAGGTCACGTATGGGGCCGTGGGAAAGGGAAGGGGTTCCCCATCCTGCGTGCACATGGGGGGGGGGCTGCTCTCCCATCAGGAGTCCGGGTTCTGTGGATGCAAACATCAGTGTGTGAGGTTTATGGGGGGGGGGCACAGGGGTCCTCACACCCCACCCTGGCTGCTCCCCATAGGAACAGCTTCCTGGGGCACCCCATATGGTGAACACACTGAGATATCCATCCTTCCATCCCCCCTCCCAGGGTCCCTGCAGCCTTTCTGCACCCTCATAGCAGCATCCCACTGATCTCTGGGTCCTGCACCCCTAAACCTTGAACCCCCCTTGGGGCCCCTGAACCCCCAAACCCTGCACCTTGTAACCCCCACAGGGGTCCCTGCATCTTTTTGGGGTCCTTGCACCCCGAAACCCTGCACCCTGTACCCCCGCCCTCCCGGGTCCCTGCACCCCCAAAGCCACGTCCCCAGCACCTTACACCCTCCCTGGATCCCTGTGTCCATGCACCCTCTTGGGGTACATTCACCCCCAAATCCTGCCCCTCCACTGGTCTCTGCACCCCCAAATCCTGCCCCCCCCATCCTACATCCCCTGGGGTCTCTGCTCTGCACCCAGCCCAGGTCTGCCCCGTCCTATGGTATTGGGATGCTGTGGGGTGCCCCCACCCAGGCCTTGTTTACCTGATGGCTTTCCCTTTCCGCAGGGAAGGGAAAGGCGAGTCCTGGCAGCGCAGAGCTGCCGGCCCCAGCCAAGAGCCGTGGGGCTGAGCCAGGGCTGAGCCTGCCTCTTCGGCCATGGAGCTGCTGCCGCACAGCAGGAAACCCCCCCAAACCCCAAGGAGCACCCACAGCAGCACCGCGAGGCTCCAGCCCTCCCATCCGCTCCCATCAGTGGGATCCCATAGGGAGGAAAGGCAGTTTTGGGGGGCAGGGTGAGACCCAGGACCTCTGCTTGTCCCCAAGGGGAAACTGAGGCAGGATGCAGCATGGGGACCCCACATTGCCCTCAACCCCATTGGGATGCTGCAGCCCCGCAGTGCGTTTGGAGGGTGTCCAAGCATCAGGGGAAGTGGAGCCCTGGGGGGGGGGTGGTGTCTGTACCCCATAGACCCCAGTGCCAACCAGTGGGGGTGAATGGGGGTGACAGACAGGACCAACCCCTGCCCGGGGCCCTGACCCCCCCTGTTCCTGGAAAAGGTACAGCAAGGTAAACAAGTGGGGTAAAAATAAATCCCTGCACAGGCGCTGGCATCACGTGGCACCGCCGCACGGCACCACCGGGCACCGAGAGCCGTCCTCCGGTGTCCCCCCCCCGGAGCAGAGGGGTGCAGCATGGGGGGTACCGCATGCACTGGGGCCGGGGGACCAGCACTGGTGATGGGGCACTGGGGTGACACGTGTGTGACCCCCGGTCACTCCAGGCTGCGTTCACCTGGTGCCTGAGCATGGCCGCACGTGGTGACCTTGGAGCTGGTTGGCGTGGCCCGTTTGCACAATGGATGGGTTGGCTCTGGCAATGCCATGATGGGGTAACCCCAGGGATGCAGCTGCAGTTTTGGGGAGCTCCCCATATGGCTGCTGAGGGTCCAGTGCAGCACCGTCACTGTGGCTTTGGTGGCCCCCTTAGCCCCCTATCATGCTGCTGGGGTGCCTCGGATGCACCCAGCGTGGGGACCCTGCTCCCAGCACCCTCACACCAACCCGCTGTGCCCCACAGTGAGCTCCTCTGTGGAACCCCACAGTGATTACCAAGGGGTTCATCTCATCCCTCCCAGCCGCACTCCTGGGGGAGCCGGATAGCCCGGTCCAGCGGAGCATCCCGGTGCAGGACCGGCTGCGCTCCGTGCGCTCTGTGTGGGGCTGTTCTCCCAAGCGGGATGAGCGGCTGAGTCACGGCTGATTGCTGCGGCTGGGAACGTGCCGGCAGGGAACGAGGCACCGGGAGAGGCTGCGGCTCCTGCACGGTCAGGGCAGCCCTGGCACGGAATAGGGATGAATAGGGATGGGGAGTGAGGGTCCCCCCATATGCCCCTGTCCCCGTGCCTGCCTGGCACCACACATCCTGCTGGGGTGAGCACACTTCAGGTGTCCCCATCACCCCCTGAGCCAGGAGCAGCCCCGGTACCCAGTGACGGTCCCTGGGGAGCCCCCATCCGAGGAACAGCCCCATGCACCCACTAGGGCTGGTGCCAGGGGCAACTCGGGGTGCAGAGCTCTGGTGTCCAACCCCCAGGCACCCCACAGCTCCCAGCATGGCCGGGGCACCCACAGCCTCCCCTCCCATGGGATTATCTCCAAGGATTTCCTGGCGCTGGCACATCTGTGGCTCTGCACCATCTCTGCCTGGATGGGGGCCAGGGCAGCACCCGGCACGTGGCACCCAGGAGGGTGCTGGCACCCCAAAAAACCCACCCCAACCTCGGGGCTATGAGCACCCATGGGGACCCTGGAGCTATAACCCGGATCCGCTCAGCAGCTCAGCCCTGGCACCACGGAGATGGGCACTGCACAGCACCGCAGCCCCTGGAGCTGGGCCAGGGCTGCCAAGCACGTGCCACACCGGGCACCCGCTGCTGCATCGCCCCAGTGGCCTCGGGTCTGAGCTGGGCCATGGGGCAGGGGTCCTGAGGTGCCAGTGCCACACTGAGCCTGCGTGTCCCCAGTGCAGGGAATGGTGCCATGTGTGTGTGTGGGGGGTAACAGGGGTACCCGGGTGTCCCCAGCACAGGGAACGGTGCCACGCAGAGGATGACTGAGGTACCTGGGTGTTCC